TTCAAAGAGCAAGTCGACTCGGCAAAGGATCGGGAAAGAGCGCGGGCCCTAAAAGAGCTTCTGGAAGCCAATGCAAGATGGAACCAGACTCGACGTGATACTTCGGCCAACGATCTAAAACGTACAGTGGATGAGACGAGCACCATTAACCCTGAGCTACGCAAAGAAATGCTATATTCGTGGGAGCGGGGGTTCGTTGAAGATAAGCCGGAGGCCATTTCACAGCAACGTCAGTCGTCACCAATCCTGATACGAAAGGATGAGGGGAGGAAGAGCGGTAAGGCCCTCACGAAACCTCTGAAGGGAAGGGTCGTGGCCGAAACGCCTTCCACAATTAAGACAGCTGCAGGGTCCGTGTACCGGAAAAGCGATATTGCGAAGGTTAAGGTTGCTGTCCAAGACAAGGAGAAAAGCAATAACAGACGATCCCCAACGGGAGAAGAGCCTAAGAAAAAACAACAGAGGCAATCGAGGCGACAATCAGACGAACAAGATGAGGCTGAATTGAGTCAGTCGGATGAAGACTTATTGCTAGAGCAGCCAGATGCAGCTAAGGAAAAATTTCAGGACAGCCCAACGGTGATCACTTCAAAAGACACTCTGCAAGGCGGTGGACTGAATTTGGCGGTACGAAGAGCGAAGCCGAACTTGGCTGGACCATTCTCGAAAACAACTAAGGCTAAAGTGGGCCCAATCTCGTCGAAAGACGCACGACAAGTCATATTACAGAATAAAGGTGCTGCGTTAGCAGCAGAAGTGAACGAACCGCAGGCGCCAGATCACGCATGTTCGTCGAATACTATAAAAAACAAGAAAGAAATTACACGCACTACATCTCCTGAAACAATCCTCGACACTTTCAATAGTAAGGACCTATCGGCGAATGACTGGAATCGGTTAGCGGATCAAGTACTTGAACGAGGAGTTCAGCGCGCGGCGACAGAGATACTGCAATCCAGAGAGAATGCGGAAGACGACGAGGAATTGTTGAATCCTCCGGGGTTTTCTGATGAATCCGAACTTGAGGAAACATCAGTGCGGAAAAGCGGAAGAACTAAGAAGGGACCATCCAGATACGGCAACCCGATTAAGCATTCGGTGAAATCCATCTCGTTTCAGAATAACCTATTAGACTTAAACCAAGCCGCGCTCGAAGCATATAGAATCAAGCTTGCGAATTTTAAACCCGGTGCTTCTAATTCAGTGGAGACAAAATTTGGTCTGCTGGAGAAACATCTTTTTAGGAGAAAGTTTGGCAGCGAGGCTCTAGATATAACCCGTTCATGGAACGCCGAGAGGCGAATCCCTTTACAGTTGGAAGAGGAACATGAAGAGAGAGATGGAAAATGAGTAATCTAATTCACAAAGCCAAAACTTCTTAAACTGAGTTCTAAAACTCCTATTCAATATTATTTAAAATTTTAATAACATATTATAAAAATTTTCTTGATCAAGGGGGTATGTGGTACCGCAACTGCTACTGCTATTGCAGTAACTATGCAGTCCTCTTATATTGACCTTGATAGTGCTACTCACATCTGCTACTGCTATCGCAGTAACCAGATAGTCATCACATATTGGCCTTGATAGTGCTATACATATTGTTATCTGTAAATTATATAATCCTATTATAAAAAACCAAGGTCAAAGAATACGTGACCTTTTACAAATCTTAGAGAGTCAATCTCTCAGGCCTGTGGCTAAGAACACAGTCAGTAAGAAACTAACAAACAGAAAAACAAACGGTTTCAACATGGTTAATTAAACTCTTCGAAACCACGTCAGTTTTCACTATACAACCTCAGAGGTATTGTTAGTTACCACAGGGTAATTGGGTATTTGATCTAGAGGGGGCGTACGAGACTGAGTAATGAAGAATATACTACGATTGTCATATTTGTGTCGTGTTTCATTCAAGTGGTGCGTATGAGCCGCCTGCATGTGCCTACCTTGGTTCTGCGGTTGAATAAGGTCACGAGTCTCGCCATGACTTCTCTTCATGTTTGTTACACAATCTTTTCATGCGAGACAAAAAAGAGCTATGGAGGATTTTGGGTTATGAGAAATGTAAATTGCCAAGAGAACCACGAGCGTTTATGTCGCCGAGTATGAGGCCTGCGGAAACGTTCAGTAGATGACTTCGAGTTATCTACTGAACGTTTCCGCAGATCTTGGAGGAATGTATCTTGGAGGAATGTATTATTAGTCAAATAAAGTTACTTAGTCAACCTGTCTATTAACTTCATTTCAAGTCTGATATTCTCTGGGACAATATCAGACAGCAATGCGGATCTTATTGGTTCAAGGTAGGGTGTGAGCTCGGTTGCTTTACCTCCGATGCCGTCGCAATTCCACTGTTTGTTGAGTAGTTTAATCGATTAGTTGCGGGAGTTATTCTGCAGGTTTTGGTCGGGTGAGTGAGATCCTGTCATTGAAAAGATGGTTTTGCATCTTTCGGAGTGTTGTTTGGAGTCAGTCTTTGATTAAATAGAAGGAGCGAGAGGGAGGGGTGAGAGCTCAGAGGGTTTGTTGTTGGTGGGCTTAGATGTCTATTTGGAGAGTATGTTTGTGTGGTGGCAGCAGAGAGGGTAGTGACAGTAGAGGTGAGATGAAAGAAAGCAATAAAGTTTATTTCTCTAAAATCAAACAAAACTGCATTCCATGCTGCTTCCCTTGCGCTATCAAAGCATCAACGATTTTTCAAAAATTTCAGAAAAACGCCATTTTCTCGAAACCCAGAATAATTTAAAGATTCATATTTTGGCAACGAGTAGAATAACATAAGATAATATCGTTGGCATTTGACCCCTATACTTTCCTTTTTGTATTAATATAAGTAAAAAATATGTTCAACTAGTTCAGCATTTCCGAGTAGATAACTATCTTTGAATTCGTGAACGAAGATAATTTTATCATTTTCATTCACGATCCCAAAATTTGAGGGCAATAAACTAATTGCACTCATTAGGTTTTTCAATTTAAAACCTCGATTAGCCAAAGAGCACTTTTTGTTTCTGTTTATACAAAAAAAAGAAACATATGCAAGAATTGCTTATTTTCTTGCATTGTAGGAAAAAGTCTTCTGCGTATGCAAATAATTAAGGAAATTGTATGGTAGCCTTTAATTAATGGAACGGAAGCAAAAATTTGAGCAGTTCAAGAGAAGAAAACTAATGTACGGTAAAAATTTCATTATCAAAGAATGCTGGAGTGATACTTTCGAACTTTTACTTGAAGAACATCGTACGTATATATTTTTTTCGGAAGCATCAAAAATGGTGCTGGCACCGAGAAACTTGTACAGCCAATAACTAGCTATGATTATTGGATTACTGGTTTAACATTTGATTGATAAAATTTCAACAGAATGGACTTCGGTACGAAATGTCGCACTTTGGATATTATACCACAATACCTCCCCAGTTTTCACATTTGATAAATAAATAAAAAATTATTATCTAGTATAAAACCTAAAAATTACAAAAAAGTTTTCGAGCAAAAAACTGAATTATTGAAGCTAATCTTAAAGTTATTTTTTTTATCCGAATTAAACGTGATTTTATTTGATTTGAACCATTAAGAGATATTAGATAGATGAGACTAAAAATCCTCATAAGTTAGGCTTCCACAAGCTACATTGGTATCATCGGCAAAAAACGGACCCTTATACGGACCCTTCGGTAACACCTGTTTTTACTATCAAACGAAATATTGTTACATTTTCTTCCAACAACACATTTTGATATCTCTCTGATAAATAACTTTCAAAGCATTTATAGCATCTACCTCGCTTTCCATATTATCTAAATTTTTCTAAGAGGAAGGTGTGATCAAGCGTATCAAATGCTTTTTTCAAATCGACAAAGTTTTTTAATTTCAAGTATTTGCCAACACCGAACCAAAATCCTTCAGTTAACTCAGCTAGTGCATCAAAGATTTTAAATTTTTGTCGGAATCCGAATTGAGGATCGTAGATCAGGTCAAACTTTGCCAGATAATTGTACAAGCGCGAGTGGAATACTTTCTCAATTACTTTATACAGCTGTTTAACAAAGCAATGGACGGTAATTATTTATATCAGGTTTACTATCTGCTTAATGAATTGGTAAAATTGTTGTATGTTTAAGAGCTTGAGAGAAGACACCTGATTCAAACGAGAGACTTGTTAGGAAAGTCAGATAAGAGCCATAACGTAGCAGCTTTTGGTTAAGAGAAAATTACTTATGTCATCAATGCCACAGTTCTGCTTTGGTTTAAGGGCGTTTAAAATTTTTATGATCTCAAATATCGAGCAATTCAAAAGGCACATTGATTGAATAGCATTTTCAAGCTGAATGTGAGACGATTCAAAAAAAACTAGCCAGTTTAGACCCTATGGTTAGGTTTTTGTTCGTAGTGTTCGTTTAATTAGATAGTATTAGGGAATATATTTTGACTGCCTAGGGCTATTTGAAAGTGGATGGTGTGTACGCCTCTATAGGCGGTAGTTTCTGAAAGTAGCATTTATGGACACTAGTAGTGTTCAAGGTGTTGTTTAAAGGATTTTAGTCCACTTCATTTCAAGTGAGTCCAGTCAGCAGTGGTACCATACACATGCTTGTGATCCGCGGATCAGGCCAATGTGCTTCCTGGGTAGGTTTCAAAAGACTTTATCAAGAGTAACATAAAGAATACTGAAGCCGGCCTGTCCTATTCAAAAACACAGAGGTTTTTCCAAGCACAGTTTTTTCCTGTGTGCTGCATCTTCTCGAAAACGGGAGATTGAAGACATTTGCACCATGTGACAAAGCTTTTCCAGCTCCACTTCTTGGAAGAGTCTTTGCTGCAACAGCCTTTACGACACAGTCTTGAAAACTGCCTGACCGCAAAACGTAAGCAGCATTCAATGAATGCACTTTAATGGATTGGATACCGCTTGTGCTTGATATAGCAATTTCGCCAAACACTACTTTTTATACAACTTCCAAAATAGTTTCAAGTAAAAGGCAACAACAACATACCTTCAAAACTCACGCTTTCCACACTCATTGGTGAAATCCTCACCAGTCTCTTGTCGACGTGGACTGGAACTCCAGAAGTGACCAAATCAACTTGTAGCGTCATATTCTCCGAACTTTTCAACGCATTCGAAAACAGCAACTGCACAACAACAGAGCTACTTGCAGGCCATGTGTACCTTTTGCGCTGTTGCTTCACAAGCTGCGAGCTTTGAAATTCGAAAAGCGACGAATCATTACTCGAATCCAATGTCTGTGGATGCAAGTGCAACTGTTTTTCACACGGCCGCAACACATTTACACTTCTTAGAAGAGGGATGTTCGAAAAAACTACAGCGGGGAATTCAAGGACATTCAGGGTGATTTTCGAATCCGGTAAAATCTGTTTCAGTAACTCAAGATTTAACGACTTTAAAAGATCTTCAACATCGTTTTGAGATAGCATTTGGTAATATGTGTTCAATTTGAAGCACTGGAACCATGTCGTAACAATCAAAGCTTTATCTGAGACCTCTGGATCCTGTTGCAAAAGTTCCAAATAATACAAAATCAGTTCAACAATATGAAATTGCAACTCCCTCCAAAAGTATTTTCCTCTTTGCATTGCTCTGTGAACAAACACCTCATCTATATTGATACCATATACAGGTAAAATATGCACCAAGTATATGATAGCCGAAAGTGGATTTTCGCGAAAATAGTCTAAGCTCACATCACCTCCCACCAACTCGTTCAATATGTAGGCTGCTTTTCTAGTCTGCTCTTTAAACACCATCAACTTAACAGCTGCTAAACACTTTCGGACATCGCCGTCTGTTGAAAACGTGGACAAGTCTCTCGCTCGGGCTTTCTTGGGACTACTTTTGTCACGCAATTCTGGAAACAATCGGAAGTTCTCGTCCAAAATTACCCCATCGTGTTTGGATTTCAAAATTCCGTATGAAAATTTGACCAAAAGAAATTTGTATTTGAACTCTCTCAACATAAACTTAGTCTCTGACGACTTGTCATAACAGTTCATGATTGTCTTCTCGTGTTCTAGTAATTGTTTCATTTGACCGGTTAGTTCTAGTTTGTCTTCACTGAAGAGCAGTCCGGTTTGGTGTGCGTGAACTCTGTCGTAAAAAGAAGTCAGCCTCGTGGATGGCAAATTTAAAATGTAGTTGCATGTGATGCATCCCTCTAAGGATGCTGCATACCAGGTCCAGTCTTTTGCCACTTGCAGGTTCTCCGATGCCTTCTTGAACAGATCTATAAAATTTCATTTTATATTAAGGCATCTATTTTTCAAATTAGGGAAGTCCATACCCGGAGTTAATAAAAACCATTTTTCAAATAAGCAGTGGTCCATTTCATTTCACTGAAAGCATCCGATTTCGAGCCGCAGTCTCGTGTTTAAAAGGCAAGCATAAATATAACTGCACCTGCGGAACGCTTATTCAAGTACAAAAACTCTTGTGTACAGGGTGTTTTCAAAACAGGATTTGCATAAATTCTCTCACATTTCACAAATATTTTGGTTATCGAAGTGATTCTTTCTTTTTGCAGTAGACAGAAAAAATTCGCGAATTCTAATGATATATTTCAAAGAGTTGGATTGTTTGTTCAAGCATGTTTACGCGATTTGATGAATTTTCTCTACTTTTTCTGCTGACAAGCTACAATAGTGCTGATAAAAAAAAATTTAAAAAAATAATGTAAAACAGAACTTTTAAATTCCCTTTTCTCAAATTCGGTTATAATTGGCCAAAAAAGGTGAGACAAAAATTGCTTGGAATTTCACCAGCTTTTTTATCGTGCATTTTTTGGCGAAATGTTGAGCTAAAATAAAAGTTTTAATACGGGTCAAGTCAATTCATTTGGTACATAATTAAGGAGACAAGTAAGGTCAATTGTAGTTATTTTTTATCAATTGACACTATTTAACTCCTTCATTATGAACCAAATGAATTGACCCGTTGCAGGATTGTATTTTTGGTTCAACATTTTGCAAAAAAAGCATAATAGAGAAGCTGAAGAAATTTCAAGCAATTTTGGTCCAAGTCATTTTTTGGCCAGATTTAGCCGAATTTAAGCATAACGAGTTATAACCTTCTGTTTTAGATCACTTTATCCAGTTCTTTTAAATCAGTACTATAGTAGCTTGCTCGGCCGAAAATGCAGTGACAAATCATCAAATCGCGAAAACATGCATGAACAACTGAAAGAATTCCAATTCAAATAACAATCCAACTCAATGAATATATCATCAGAATTCGGCAAAAGAATCACTTCAATAAACCAAGTATTTGAGAAATGAGAGAAGATTTATAATTTAAAAAAAACAAATTTTGAAAACACCCTGTATTTCTAGTATTTTAAGGAACAAAACCTCGATGACCACTCAAATCGACGTGTGAATAAAATGTGATCAAACTTTGAATTTATCAGAGGCATTGAAATGTAAGATGAAGAAAAGTTAAATGCAATGGTTGAGTTAGTCTTTTATATTCGCAAAAAAAAACGCAACCTGACTTAAGTATAGGAAACAGCTAACCTGCAGCAAATTTAAGGTTGTTCATCTGTAGCAATAAATCCGCCAGTTTTTTCAAACATCTTCCTCTTAATTTCTCCTTCCCGTGTTGGATCGTGACCCCTATCTGCTGCTTGGCCTCTTTCTCGACGGTCAAAGGGGTCAAACTCTTCAGCAGGGTCATATATGACTCAAATGTCCCCTGTGGATTCTCCAACACGTCTTCAATCATTCCTTTTCTTTCCCGGAGTAATTCAGTTACAGATAAAAACCAATCTCTCAGCAACTGTTTGTTCTCGTATAGACCTTTTTGCAAGTAGAAAACTGCTTTACTGGTCTGCAAGTCAGCGAGCTGTGACGAGTCACCTTTGCCGCTTTCTTCTAAGAACAAATGAGAAGCATTTCATGTACGATACGATTTCTACAAATTTGTGAATGAAATATTACAATTGCTCAAGATACGAAATTGGAGCGGGGCAGAACGAATAGTTCATAAGACTCTTCCAATTTTTCTCCCTAGTTCATAAAGAAGGGCAAACATGCAAGAAATGTAGAGGAATCTTGCAAGGATCCAGCGTTTTTGAGATTTAGCTATTTATGAAATTTAATCAAGCCACTGTGTTGAAGAGTTTTATTGAAAACGCATCGAGCACGACTATCGCAGTCAACTAAAATTCAAATGGTTTCAACAATAACAAAATGGCCACTAACGAACTGGGGGAATGTCAGACCCGACGTCTATCCAGAGCACAAACAGCGGCTTATCGTCCATCTTCGACTTAGTATCAAGCAAGGAGTTGGGCAAATTCCCAGAACCACTGCTCTCTTCGTCACTGTTAGTCTCAGAAGCTTCACGCTGTGAATTATTAGCCTCAAACAGTCGTAGCTCGATGGTGGCGAAACATCTTCTAAATGACTGCATCTCAGTCCAGGCCTCAAATGATGTTGCAACTGCCGTCGGCGAAGAATTGCCTTCGCTACAGAAAAGCGAGAACCCTAAGTCGTGAGTTGCATTGCTCGCTTTTACACAAGGGAAGTTCGCACAGAGTGAGCTGTAAATTTTAAACAACTTCTGTTTACCACCAACTAATCTAGCGACTCCAGGCGTATATGAAATATTGATGAATGTACAGGCGCTGTCTTCAAATTGACGCGAGTACAATTCGGGGTTCAACATTTCTGAAAACTGTTTCAAATCTGAGATACAAACTAATTGACTACAATAGCTTTTAAATAAGCGACAAGATGCATTTTCAATTATCACGGATGTTTGGCTTCCAGTTTCCATGCACAGAGGCGGAGAAGCCTTCTGCAAGGCTTCGTGAAAACTGCAACCAAACTATGACAAAATCATCTGGGATCACTAACCTGAATTTATCAAAAACTAGCTAAACTGACAGACTAGACGCTTGATGTGCAAGCAAGCAACATACAAATTTCAGGCCAAATCTTTTTTTAAGTCTCTGTCATTTGTTGCGCGCGCTCTGATGAGAGGAACAAAACAAAAACTTATAACACTAGTAAGTTGGTCATATTAGACCACAGTTCTCTTCGAAAAATGAAAAACAGAAACAAAAATTCAAAAAATATTTTAAAAAATTTAGCAATTGGTTTAAGTTTTGTAAAAACCTTTTTTTTGTTAAGCTTTATCATGCTTAATTTTCTTGTTTAAATAGTCTCATGTCTCAAATCTTTTATACTATTATAACACCAATAATAGCCAATATAGAAGTTAAAAAAAGCTGGAAATTAGACTAAAAATCAAAAGTTTCAAACCGGTTTTTTCTCGACAGAGTAACTTTTTTGAATTGCTTCAAACTTCGACCATTTTGGGACTGAAAGGGCTTTTAATTAATATATCACTCTATCCATTTTGATAACTATTTGGGGTACCTGATTTTGCGGAAACAACTAAAACACACCCGAAGACCTAGATCATTGGATACAAACTGAAAAAATCATTAGTTACAGTTGGATACTACTGCTTCGAATATTGGACAAGATGACCTGACATTAGAACAGCAACCCCGTAAAATAAGAGGCGCTTGAACGATAAAAATATTTAACCAAAAAAATTCTAAAAATGTATTGTTGCAATACTAACTTGGAAAGGGATGAGCGACAAAAGCCCTCCGTCAAAAGCCCCCGGCGCAAAAGCCCCCCGTGCCATAAGCCTGAATACAATTGGCACGGGGGGCTTTTGACTCGGGGGCTTTTGACGGGGTGCATTTGTCGCGGGGGCTTTTGACTCGGGGGCTTTTGACGCTCAGCGCTTGGAAAGAGTTTGTTTATTGATACCCCAAACACAACACACACTAGAAACAACTGCTTCAATAAACATGGTCAAAATGAAATTCGTAACAAAAACTCATTCCACGATACAAACCTAACAGAGGACTATCAGGTCAACATGAATAACCCAAAAACACCTCACGTATCTCTACTTAAAACATAAAAAACACCCTACTTATGAATAGGGGTCTAGGAAATTAGACGTGACAAAAAATTGAAATTAGACGTCGATGCATAACTACCAACATGGGAAATTCGACGCAATTGTATTGTTAACGTGTGTGAAATTTGTTTACTGACTACAATTCACGTTCGCTGACTACACGCTTTTGTCCGGTCTTTCTTAAATGCGAATCAAAATTTTCAAATGTCGCAATTGTATAATTTATGCATTTCAAAAGTGTTTTATAATATTTGGATTAACGTTTTAAAAATCATTTATAATAAATAGTTTGACATGCAAAGGAATCATCAACTATTTTTGTTCCGACTTTCGATACGAAAGTAACGGAATATTTGTGCTCGGGGTGGGTTTTTTTTTTCTTCAGACAAATTTCGACTTTTTAACTAGCCATTTTTGACGGAATTTTTTATATCATTCGAAAGCCATTGTTGTCCTGAACTTAAATTTGAAAAAATATTTTACCTGTGATCAATTTTCGTAAAGTTATGAGGGTTTAAAGATTGCCATTTCGGCCATTTTGACCAATTTGGGACAATTAACGCGCGATATAATTCGCGCTATTAACGCGTAAAGCGGAGATTTAATCCGTCTTATAAATTGTTCCAAATTGGTTGAACGAAGCTTATTTGCCATATTTGATTTGTTACAAAGAGCGAAATGTATCCTTTTGTACTTTATATGGCGTGTGGGGGGATGATTTTCAAAAAAAAATTCAAATTTTGGAAAAAAAAAATTTCATTTTATTTTATTTCATTTAACTTGTTGTGTTATTACTGCTGCTCCATAAACCTTAAAAGGCAGTCAGAACATTCAGGGCTTCGCCCTGATACGAGCAGTCTTGTTGTATTTGTGAAACTTTGTTTCAAGCAATAATTTTTGTTAGCCCTTTGCTTTTCATCCATGTTGTCTAAATTCCCTTTTATTGGAGCCGTTTAATTTGCTTGTCTAATTTCCTCATCCCCTTATAAAAAACTTAAAATTGTCTAACTTATCCCTACTTAAAAAATTAAAAACTACCTACTTATCGAAACGACGGTGGAACTCACGAAACCTTTAAGCTGATACATTCACAACACTGTTTGCAGAACAAATATTTGAAAAAAAAAACATTTTGCCAGCCGCGCTTGTCTTGTTATCGATAATCCTGTATTTTCCAGAGATTTCACATACTTACCAAATCAACCAAAGAGAGCAATGAAGTCGTCTAAGCAAAAAGTTACGGCTGGAAAAATGGAACCAAAATTCAAACATTTTAAATCCTCATTTTCAAAAAGTTTGATTTTTGTATCACTGCATGTATCTTGCTTAAACATAGTTTTTACTGGTCTTTAAGCCGCGAAAGCTAAGTCCACATGATTTTTAAAGTCAATAAAATACATGAATGATTATTACTCCGAAAAATGCCTGTGAAACATTCCATCTCGTCAAATTCTCCAAAAATGAATAACATGACAACATGGACTCCATCAAAAACTTAAAAATCACATTGAAGAAACAAGAAACTTTTTAAAGACAACTAATGTAGGAGATTGCATAGTAGGAAACTTTGATAGCATCTAGGAAGCTTAAATCTTTCTTTCACACGAGGAAAAACATACAAAGAGGCGAAGCTGAGCTTGGCACCACTTGCGATACATCGCAAAAGTGTCATGGCAAGCTAGTTGACAAACAATGAAGAAAGTCACTAAGTTGCCAGTTTAAAGAAAGACACAATTTACCACGAAGAAAGCATGCCAATGAAGACAAATGGCAGCATAAAATAAGCATGGAGAAATCAACCAAAAGGTACTTAAGCCGGCATTATTAGAGTATATGCTCATTGAGTAAAAAAAAAAAATGATGTCAAAAAAACTTAAGCTTTAAAAATGAAAGAAAGTCTATTTTAAAATGAAAATCTATCACCAAGAAGACATACTGTTGCCATGCAAACGACAAAGTATAAGTCAACAGTAAAAAGAGCGAATCAGAAACCTATTTAGCCAAATATACCAATGAACTGGAAACATACAAGGATGAATCATGTGAACAAATTAACTTATAGGGGAAATAAATAGTACCCGGTTGCAATTGCTTTGAAGTAAACAGAATATGCAAATGACAATGACAAGAAAGGAATGACAAGAAGACGAAACATGTATTAGAAGTTGAAATGTTGATGTTTCATACTTAAGAAAATCTGGCGCCTAACTTCAATCTGGCGCCTAACTTTTTCCCGAGCCATATAGTTTAACCTCTACAATAGAGGAAAAAATACGAATTGTGATATATATAGGCGAGGCTACACTTCACTCAGAAAAACAAAATATGACCAAAAACAGCTTTAAAGGGATAATTGAAAAACAAAAACTTGAAAAATGAAATGAGCCTTGTAAAAGATCACATTGAAAATGAAACACCAATATTCTTGCCAATCTACCCAGATTGAAAACCTTTTTCTATTATCCACCACTAGATCATTGAACAGTTTTCCTGAAATTTTGTCGCAGAATAAACAACAGCACCAATGAACCAAAAACCCTATTAACCAGAAAAGAAAACATAAGACATTAGTTTATACGCTTATACGATAGCACAGACCTGAATACTTCGCAATAACCTAAAAGAACAGATTATTAGGTAACTTAAATTAAGAAAAGATTCAGCTTCGTTTCGATAGAGCGGACAAATATATTCCCGGAATATTAAAAGGTATATAAAAGAATGTCAATTGGATGATCTTAATTTATTGTTCATAGCCCCCTATGTTGATTTTTGATCACAAATAGAGGATTCAGGTCGTTTCAAAAGTAGCACACTGGATGCAGATCATCGTCCTGATATCCCACTGGCCATCTCGAATTGAAAGCGAGAAGTACAGATCCATTCCCATTCGCGCCCAATCGTTATGATATGTTCTACCCTAGCAGTGTTTGCAATCCCAACCACATCCACAGTGTCTGAAGAGCCGTATTTTCTTGATTTTAATTCGGTATTTGTAATTGAATTTGTCAATTCGGCTGAGAGTTGACTTCTGATTCGTTTTCGGCAGACCAAATGAATACTTCGCAATAGCTCAAAACAACTGATTCTTATGTTATTTGAAGTAAGAAAAAAAATTATCTCGGTATCGATAGAGCGATTAACAAATATTTAAATGAATGTGAATTGGAGGATTTTGATTTATTGTCCAAGACATAGAAGAAAAATTGTCCGATTATACAAAACTTTTGTGATAATAGGATTTTTCATCGGGTACAGGAGGGTTGATTGATATTAATAGCAATTCAATTCCCAATAATCTGATTATAAATTTTTGATGAAAGCCAGATTAGTCGATTATACTCTATGGGATAAGCGGATTATATGATTATTTTTTCATTATACGTCAAAACAATGAAACACAAGATAACCGTTCGTTTTGAAAAAATGAGACTCGCAAAAAACATCAGCTCCCCTTGCTCAAAGATTCTGCAGCTCTTTGAGGTATATAATCAGCCCCTTTTCATTAATCTTACATCAATTTTATGCAATATCTTATAAAATTCCTCAACTACTACTTCCAGTCTGAACTTTTTGTTCCGACTATTTGAGAATTGTGGAGGAACTTTGTATTTGGGTGTTTTAGTTTTTTTTCCACGCAAAATTAGGTACCACAAATAATCATCTGACTGGGTTGAATGAAATATCATATTAAAGCCCTTCCAGTCGTGATTCGAACCACATTAAAAAGCTTCAAAAATTTTTCCGTGTCGAGACAAACCGGTTTGAAGTTTTTGATGTTCGTCTTAATTTGAGCAAATAAAGCCAGCGAGCAGGCTTACAACAGCTAAATTACTATTAATTTAAGACCTTAAACTTAATTCTAAGCGAGTACAACTAGTTTTTGGTGCTTTTTAGCTTAATTTTGGGAACAAACACTTCAAAAAACTTGAATTAAAAAAAGTGTTAAGTTTCTTGTCGTTTTTCTGAAAAAAAATTGTCCAATTTGGCTATATTACTATGACCGTCTAATATGCCTGAATTATATTTTTACGTCAGATCCTTTTATCATACCAAGCAGAAAAAAAACTAAATTAATTGGGAAAAAACTTTCTAAACCGTAGTTTTCTAAAGACCCTGGTCGGAACATTCTGTATTCTTTGCACAGTAGCTGACTATCCTTGTTTGATTTTTGCATTTATTGCTCAGAACTTACTGCTCAATTTGTTTGACACAGAGTTGCGATAAAATAAGTAATAGTTATCACCTGAAAAGTAGTTGTCCAGGCTTTCCTAGGATGTAACGCTTCCCACCTTTTTTTTAAACTCTAAACAACTTAACATCAGACTGTTTAAATTCCAACTTTTTGTTGCCTTAACAATTTAAGATCACTACATTTTAAAAGCATTTCTATAACTTAACTTCGTTTCAAACCAAAATGAAAAGAGAAATTAATTCTAAGGGGACTTTGGTAAATATCACTTCGCAACACTTGCGGTGCAGAAAAACACATTGCACGACAATATAGTCAATGAAAAAAGACAAAAGCCAAAAAATAAGGAAAAATTACGTTGGAAAAAATTACTTGAAAAAATAACTTGACAAAAGTTGAAAAACTACAGCTAGAAAAACTTCATATAGGTATCGGATGAAGCTCATGAAAAGCCCTTAAAAATGGAAATCATTTACCGATCGGCAACAAAGGCGACAAGATTTGGGCCGAAACCTGTTGAGCTAAAAACAAAACTGTTGTCATAAAAAACTTCAAAAAACTCAAAAGTTTTTACAGCCCATCCAAACTGAAACATATTCCCAAACGGATACTTTTTGCCCTCAAATTACGCGGAAACACCATAGCAGAAACGCTTTAGGCCGAAATGGTTTTAAAGCTATCAAGCCCCCCACACCCTCAAACAAACAAACACACACATACAAACTTTGTTCACGCGTCAAATTAAAAAACTTGGCCACTATCAGTTTGGCTACACACACAGTCTTTACTCATGCGTCAAATGAAACAATTTGGCCACTAACGAAACACAGCCGAAAAAAAATTAACACTGATAAAAAGTTTATTAAGTCCGCCTCACCCGCATAAGACAAAAACAGCTCGTGAAACGACGCAGTATAAGCGACTAAGCCAATGTTATATAGGCCAAAACCTATCAAACCAAAACAAGGGAAAAGAAAAAAACACCAAAAAACTTTTAAAACTAATAAATTATTAAGTGCCCATCGCCCTCAAAACACAGACAAGCACACACAAACTTGTTTCGCCCATCAAAAAGCTCAATATGTGGCCATTAAACTGATATAAAATAGACGGAAACTCATCAAGCCGAAAAAAAAGTAGTCATGAAAAACTTCATCTGTAATTTCTAATAAGATTTATAGCATTTCGTGCAATCCATTTTGTTTTGGAGTCTTTCAATTACTACGCGGTAATTTTTCTCCTTTGTGCATTTATGGCCAGTCGGTGCATCAAAAAAATTAGTTTTGTTGGGAGGCGTCTTTTTGCAGGCTGCTAACTAATTTCCACATGTTAGGGTGGGCTCCGTTGAAATATGATTGGATGCCGAATTGCCATCCTTCGACAGCATTTGTTGTCCTAGTAATTCCACTCACGGCCGCATCTCGCAGAGGGAGGGTAGGAATAAAACTTCACAGTTTGGCAACATGGTTTTTATTTAAGTAGAGCCGAAGTATAGCACAACTCGTCAGTTTTTCCTGGTTTTGAATAGATTCCGTTGCAAATATTCTGAATTTCTTGAACAATCATATCATAGGACTCGCCGATCTTTTTTTATCGAATGCAAGGGAGGGCAGCACGTAAGGCCAACATAAAATCGTGATTTTTGGCAGTTCGCTCTGAGACCCAGTTCATTGATTTTTCTCTTTTATTTTTGTGAAAGATGGAAGAAACAACGCAATAAATGCGCTCCAAGGAATATTTGCGACTTAGGTTGGAAAAAAAAGAGAGTTCATACTAGAACACAAGCTTTGCTTGCGTAAATATGACCACTTAAGCCGAAAAAACATGAGCATACAAATAATGAGCCGACAATTTTTTAATTTCCCGTTTGAAAAAAAAAACAGGTAGTCAGATTCGAACACATTACCTTTGCCGTCCCAGCCGCAACCTTTATCTCCAGACCAAGTGCGCCGGACACACAGAAATTAGAATGAATTAAAAACAATCTACATTGACTATTTCTAATTTTGACCATTCTGTGCCTTAAGTTATTTACGGGGAAAAGTCAAGTACCCGATTGCAATTCCAGGTAATCAACAGGTATCTCAAATTATGAGCATTTATATCGACGTCTAAACTCACCAAAAAGTCTAAAAAGATTAACTCAACTAAATAGATCATCAAAGGTTAAAAATACAAATGGTAATATTCAATTGCGTTAATTTAAGTACAATCAAAAAATAAATATTTAAAAACAATTTGTCCATTCACTCAATAGATGCTCCATTAACAATCCGGCACCTGAGGAATAAATATCATTTCAATATCTTCATTAGTGTCACAGAAAAATGTATCTTCTATTCAAATTTTTCGAAGTCAATAAATAAGGCATTAAAATTGCATGAAATTTCGAACCACTTTCAGGAGCATCCTAGACACAAATTTTCACAACGGCATTTATGACAAAAGAACTGCTTGCACAATTTGCACTGGGCTCCACACGGATTGTCGTTTCCTGAGGTGCATATAAGGACTGTGCAGTAGTAGCATTGGACGGCATTAGAGTCTGAATTGCAGCAGCGGAAGTCTCCAGTTTGGGTCTCGTTTGAGTTGACGTCGAAAACAACTGAAAGAAAAGCAACCAAATTCATGAATGTGCTGCTATTGGAAAAAGCAGAAAACGGGAGGGTGTTCTGATCCAGTTTAAAGACTGAAAACTACACCCATTCAAAAATGATTGGCAATTCGATTCTGTAAAATTTCCTTTGAATCATTGCTTTTGGGAGTTTGACTGAATCCAAAAAAACACCAGCAAAAAAACGAAGCGCAGAGGTTGGAATCATCCACCTTATTGACAGATGGACTAATAACTTACTGGATGGTTTAAGTAATTCGCGCTTGGTCGGTTTCAACTCTGCCGCCTGTTCCTTCTTCGGACTCTTTTCTTCTTTCTCCAGACACTTGTAGAACTCTGAAGCCCCACTCTTCAGTCTGCTAAGAGTCTGTTGGCATACCTGCTGCATGGCGTCTTCACTCTGCTGATTGATCAGCTTCTGAGTCACCTGCGACTTCAAGTGGGGCTGCATAAACGATACAAAATTTCAAATTTATGCCTCGACACTACCTTTGCACTATAACGAGTTATACGCAGTAAACATCCACATAACATGCCCAGTTTGCATTAAAATTAAGTCAGCTGCATCTAAGATTTTGGCGAGGGAGTTTCGAAAATGTTTGAATATTTCGTCGACCTTTGTTTAGGTAGATCAAATCAAATTGCCGAGGTTTCCTATAACTATTAAACAGCCGTATTCTTACACAACAAATTGATAAGAATTAGAGAAATTACGTCTTACTTTAGAGAAATCACTTTATATTTTTCATGTTTCGACTTGAGAATATGAGTGATATCAAGATCTAATCACAACACCCAGTTTTTTTTACGTAGAAAGAGAAGCTGCTTTTTACATACAAGCAGAAAAAGAAGAATTATTTCTCTAGTTACATAATATGATACATCAAAATAAACTACACAAAATTAAATCGACATATTTTTTCATGATCTTCAATTGTAATCAACGGAGCAGCATGGAGAGGACAAGCTAAAGGCACGCTAAGGTGCCCACTTAACGCCTACACAAGCTTTATTTATTTCCAAAAAAAAACTTCTTTTTCTTTTTAATTAATTTCTATTTTTTTCCACTTTTTCCAGGTATTAGACGCCTAATGTAAGTGAAAAACATACCTATCAAAAAAAATACCTATCCAAATCTGTGCTTCCTAAGATTTATTTCCAAGATATTTTTTTCTGCGTCAGAAAAATCGTAAAAACATCGATATCTCGAAAACTAGAAGAATTCAGAAGGCCAATTTTTCAGAACAGATTCGCAATCCTACGTATAATACCTGACAGCAAAAATGAGTAAGAAAAATTAAATTAAACTATTAAATATAAAGCGGGGAAGTTCTGAACTTCCTAGAAACTAATTTTTAATTTGTGCACAAAAACAAAAATTTGCTGACGGTTCATTTCCCATAGTTATCTGGTATTCAACGATTATCGCATAAAACGTTGAAAAGCTAAGCTCATCGGTTTTGTAGCGATGCAGACTTGATTTTCTTGCAGCACGCAGGTTTTTGGAAAGCTTGAAGCCATGATCTACGGGTATTATAATTCACTTTCTGCAAAAAATTTATTCTAAAACTATTTGAATGCAATTTGTTCACTGATCGAAGACAACAATTTTGTAGATCGCATACGAACAGTTCATGTGCCGACAAAATCTTATTATTAGGAAATTTGTCTGATCTTACGCTTGAAAAAAAAAATCTTTTTGATCAGTTTCTTTTGCATTAGAAAAATTGCATTCGAACTCGAGAAAGATGTAGAGCCCTACAAAAAATCTCACACAAAAAGTCTCATTCTAGAAAAAAAAACCGCAATGTGTACCTAGATTTGATTTTTGCAAATTGACTTGTTGAAGTTAATTGTTGTATACAATGATACCTAAAAACTTACTTTTTCATTACTTATCTGAACTCATTACAATCTATCTGATAAATAGCTTTTAAACCATGAAACTTAAAATATAATTTCTATTATAATTTCATTTTCCGCGATCCTTACTGGATGGTTTAAGTAATTCGCGCTTGGTCGGTTTCAACTCTGCCGCCTGTTCCTTCTTCGGACTCTTTTCTTCTTTCTCCAGACACTTGTAGAACTCTGAAGCCCCACTCTTCAGTCTGCTAAGAGTCTGTTGGCATACCTGCTGCATGGCGATTTCACTCTGCTGATTGATCAGCTTCTGAGTCACCTGCGACTTCAAGTGGGGCTGCATAAACGATACAAAATTTCAAATTTATGCCTCGACACTACCTTTGCACTATAACGAGTTATACGCAGTAAACATCCACATAACATGCCCAGTTTGCATTAAAATTAAGTCAGCTGCATCTAAGATTTTGGCGAGGGAGTTTCGAAAATGTTTGAATATTTCGTCGACCTTTGTTTAGGTAGATCAAATCAAATTGCCGAGGTTTCCTATAACTATTAAACAGCCGTATTCTTACACAACAAATTGATAAGAATTAGAGAAATTACGTCTTACTTTAGAGAAATCACTTTATATTTTTCATGTTTCGACTTGAGAATATGAGTGATATCAAGATCTAATCACAACACCCAGTTTTTTTTACGTAGAAAGAGAAGCTGCTTTTTACATACAAGCAGAAAAAGAAGAATTATTTCTCTAGTTACATAATATGATACATCAAAATAAACTACACAAAATTAAATCGACATATTTTTTCATGATCTTCAATTGTAATCAACGGAGCAGCATGGAGAGGACAAGCTAAAGGCACGCTAAGGTGCCCACTTAACGCCTACACAAGCTTTATTTATTTCCAAAAAAAAACTTCTTTTTCTTTTTAATTAATTTCTATTTTTTCCACTTTTTCCAGGTATTAGACGCCTAATGTAAGTGAAAAACATACCTATCAAAAAAAATACCTATCCAAATCTGTGCTTCCTAAGATTTATTTCCAAGATATTTTTTTCTGCGTCAGAAAAATCGTAAAAACATCGATATCTCGAAAACTAGAAGAATTCAGAAGGCCAATTTTTCAGAACAGATTCGCAATCCTACGTATAATACCTGACAGCAAAAATGAGTAAGAAAAATTAAATTAAACTATTAAATATAAAGCGGGGAAGTTCTGAACTTCCTAGAAACTAATTTTTAATTTGTGCACAAAAACAAAAATTTGCTGACGGTTCATTTCCCATAGTTATCTGGTATTCAACGATTATCGCATAAAACGTTGAAAAGCTAAGCTCATCGGTTTTGTAGCGATGCAGACTTGATTTTCTTGCAGCACGCAGGTTTTTGGAAAGCTTGAAGCCATGATCTACGGGTATTATAATTCACTTTCTGCAAAAAATTTATTCTAAAACTATTTGAATGCAATTTGTTCACTGATCGAAGACAACAATTTTGTAGATCGCATACGAACAGTTCATGTGCCGACAAAATCTTATTATTAGGAAATTTGTCTGATCTTACGCTTGAAAAAAAAATCTTTTTGATCAGTTTCTTTTGCATTAGAAAAATTGCATTCGAACTCGAGAAAGATGTAGAGCCCTACAAAAAATCTCACACAAAAAGTCTCATTCTAGAAAAAAAAACCGCAATGTGTACCTAGATTTGATTTTTGCAAATTGACTTGTTGAAGTTAATTGTTGTATACAATGATACCTAAAAACTTACTTTTTCATTACTTATCTGAACTCATTACAATCTATCTGATAAATAGCTTTTAAACCATGAAACTTAAAATATAATTTCTATTATAATTTCATTTTCCGCGATCCATAGGCGAGCATAACAAATACTAAGCCGATATAAAATAAGCCGAAGCCTATTAAGCCGCAAAAAAACAAAAAAAAACAGAATAAATTTTTAAAAAATCGAGTTGGAAAAATCACAACGAACATTTCCCTTCAAATTACCCGAAATTAGGCCACTAAGCCAATATAAAATAAGCCGAAGCCTATTAAGCTGCAAAAAGAACAAAAAAAAAACAGAATAAACTTTAAAAAAATCGAGTTGGAAAAATCACAACGAACATTTCCCTTCAAATTACTCGAAATTAAGCCGATATGAAAATGGGCCGAAGCCTTTATGCCGCAAAAAGAACAAAAAAAAAGAATAAATTTAAAAAAAATCGAGTTGGAAAAATCACAACGAACATGAAAAGCAAACTTTGAAATGGCCGGATATTTGAAATAACATGCTCAACCATGCTTGATATTGCAACCAAGAGTAGGAGAGGAGTAGGATTTGCACAGCGGACGAAAACACCTGAACAGAAACCTCTCATGCCGAAAAAAAATCAAAAAAAAACTTAAACCAAAAAAATTTTATGTCCCTTTTCCCCTCCGAGCACACGCACGCACATAAGCCTTTTTGGATCCCCGAACGATGCAATAAGAGGCCACTAGGTTGATATAAATTAAGCCAAAACTTACTAACCCGATAAAAAGACAAAAATGAAAAAAAAGAATTACAGTGAAAATTGTTTACAGCAAAAAATGATTCGTAGATCTGGCAACTAAACCGACGAAACATAAGCAGACAAATAATAGGCCGAATTTTTTTGAACCGGAATATTTACCGTTTAAAAAAACAGGTCCTAGTCAGATTCCAACCCGAGACCTTTGGCGTCCCAGGCGTGTTCGTAACCTCCAGACTAAATGTGCAGGACACACTGAGAAATTTGAATTGATTATGAACCAAAGTACCACGATTCCAGATGAGTCCTGTAGAAAAAAATGTTTACGGCCGAAAAAATCTAAAACCCGATTGCAATACCCTTACATATCACACGGGTAATAGAATACTCATGGGTTTTTTTTAATGAACGAACATTGGTTAAGAAGGAGATTTAATAATTAATTAGACGAAACAGTACAAGATTGTTCAGAGCCTTGAGTACACCTTTGTCCACACCTTTGTGTATAAGATTGAGTACACCTTTGAGCAGGGGCGGATCTAAGATTTTCTCGAGGGAGAGCTTATTTTCAAAAAAAATTTCGAAAATGTATCGATCTTTTTTTAGGTCGACCAAATTGACTTTCCAAGCTCTCACAAATCACTATAAAGACCCAATTTAGATTTGACCTAATTTTCTGCGCCGCCTGCGAAACTTTGAAAAACAGGCCAAAAAAGGCTTTTTCTTGGCATTTTTTTTGAAAACTTTGACCAAAAAACTGCGCTTTTTTTGGCTCGCACTTGCCACTCAAATTTAGTATATACTGGCACCTTTAGAAAAAATTTAGGGTTCATCAGCCAAAAATTGAGATCTCAAAATTGTACAAAAAGTGACCCTTTGGGTCGCCAGGGGGTCGAATTCCTGAAGAAGGGGGTGTCCGCCCTCCCCCTGCCCCGAAATCCGCTGGTGCCTTTGAAGGATTACTTACACATTTGTTTTCACTCAGAAAAACCTTTCAAATGAATAGTATTCAAAGAAAGCACCTGGAAAAAATGGTCTTTTCCGTCAGCATTGCTCTCCTTCATCGCTCCTTGCAAGTCTTCGGCAATAGTCAATTTTCTCTTGTTTGCACCAACGGTGGAAGTCATCCTTCAATTGCAATGGTTTTTAACTCAACCAGGGGTATCAACAAATCGTTAAAACAAAATCGGCATCTGAAATATGTTCACAGACAACGGGATTATCTTTTTCGATTAAAAAACAGGAGTCCTTCAATTATTGCGAAATACTGATTACTCTGACATTTGTCTTCGTTCAAACAGTTTTGCATTATAAAAACTTGCCTGAAAATTTAAATCTAAATAGCGGGTAACGCACCTCTGGTGCTCCAAATTTCTGACAACTCATGAAAAACCGCATATATTGAAAACAAGATCGGCAGCCTTTGAGTGTACTTTGACAGCACCCAATTACAGGGTTGGTAATTTCAAATTTTGAAAAAAAAAATTTAATTCAAAATTTGAAAAACCATTAAAGCGTCATATCTTGAAAACTCAAAGGATCACTGGGGAAATTTAGGGCCCACATTTTCAACCACTGAGAGCATCCTAAGAGCACCCCACCCCAAGTTTCCTGAACAAATTGAAAAAATCATAAAAAACTAAAAGCATTCGAGCAGCCATATTTAGACGCAAGATTTGCAACCCTTGAGAGTACTGTCACAGTACCCCAATACAGGGTTGGGAATTTCAACTTTTTTTTGATTTTTTCAATCTAAGTTTTCTGAAAAGTTAGGAAAAATCATGAAAAAAAACGTCTTACTCGATAAGTACAAGGGTTTCAGCAGTTCAATGAGAGTACCCTGACAACGCCTCACAATAGATTTTCAAATTTTTTTATATCTGAGTTCTTCGAAAAATTTCAAAATGACATAAAAAACGTAAAATCTCGGAAATTGAAAACATTTGAGCAGTCGCATTTGGAGGCAAGATTTGCAATTCCTGAGATTAGTCTCAGAGTACCCAAGTACAAGATTGAGAGTTTCAAATCTTTTCAATTTTTTAAATCCAAAGTTTCTAAAAATTGAAAAACGAAATTTAAAAAAAAAAACGAAAACATATATATCTCAAAAACTGCAAAGACTTGGGCAGCCATATTTAGAGGCCAGATTCGCAGTCTAAGAGAGTACTCTGATAGCCCCCAACTATAGAGTTCAGAAATTCAAAATTTGAAAAACAAATTAAGTTTTTTTGAAACCTTTTGAAAAAAATTACAACAATCGTCGTATTCCTTAGGCTCAAAGGATTTGGTTATTCTTTATTGGAGGTCAAATTTGCACCTCCGGGGGAACCCTGACAGCTTCCTATTATTGAATTGCCAATTTTAAACTTGGTGAAAAAAAACTGAATTCAAACTGGAAAAAAAATCTTAACCATTGCAACATGCGATTTTACTTAACCGCGAAAAAAGTCATTCGTTCAAAATGCAAAAATATTTCGTTGAAACAGCCTAAACGTTGCGAGATAGTGAAGCCCGTATTTAAATATATAGTAAATAACGAATTCAAATAATTGCAAGTTCTTTTCAGTGCTCATTACTACAGTTTGGGTCTAATTAGGAATTATTTACAGCGATTAGTACCTCTCACAACAAAATGGTTTATGATTGCCAATTTTAGTCAAAGTTTCCGCATTGCAAGCAGAAAGATAATTCAAGCGGGTTTAAATTGTGTCTTAATTGGCAATTTTCACAAAAAATTTCAGGTGAATAACATTGTTTGTACAGGTTCATCGCGAGCCTCAAATTCGCTCACTCTCCAATACATTCATTCGGTAAAGAGTCAGTAATACACTTACAGGTTAGTACGATTCAAAAGCGTCTAAACTGCCCCCCTCCCCCCAAAAAAAATATCCAGACAATTGAAAGCTGCCTCTTTTGAAACTTATTAAACGTCAAAACTTTTTCTGCTTTTCGCAGAGGATTTCAGTTTTCGGACTCCTGCAGATGCTGTCAGTGTTAACATTGCAAAGCAAAACAATGCTGCTTCAGAATTCATACAACAAAATTTAGAAATCCATAGCTAAAACAAATCACACATACACAACACTTAACCATGTATGTTCATCAATTGAAGCGCACTTAAAATTTGTATTACCGAATCATCGGCGAATCAGAGAAATAAGTTATAACTAGAAAGCTCGCCTCCAATAATCAATGCTGTCGCAAAAATTAGCTGTTGTTCTGATCAAGCTATTCAAGCAATGAAGCTTTGAACAATTCAAGTTAAGCCATATCCGTGAATCGGTTTGAAAAACTTAAGGTTTCATAGAACGAATCGGTTTCCGAAAAACTGAAATTTTTCTGAGCAAGCTACTCAAGCTATAAAACTTTGAAACATTTTTAGATGTTTCATGAAGCAAATCAGATGGCAAAACTTTAGGTTTTTCTCTAGAAGCGATGAAACATTGAAAAAATTCACGTTGTCTCATAGAGCGAATCAGTGGGAGAAAAGCTAAAGCTCTTCTTAATAAGCTATTCAAGCTATGAAACTTTGAAATATTTCAAGTTAATTCACAGATCGAATTGGTTGGCAAAAGATTCAAGTCTTTCTATGCAAGCTATTTGAGCCAAGAAACTTTGAAACCATTCCAAGTTATTGCTAGACTGATTTGGTGCGCGAAAAGTTCAAGTGTTTCTAAGCAAGCTATTAGAGCTAAGCAACTTTGCTTCAAGCTATTTCGTATATCGAGTCGGATCGCGAAAGTTGAAGTTTTTCTAAGCAAGCTATTAGAGCTAAGCAACTTAGAGTTTTTTCAAGCTATTTCGTAGACCGAATCGGTTCGCGAAAGTTTAAGTTTTTCTAAGCAAGCTTTTAAAGCTACAAAACTTTGAAGTATTTCGTTTTTTCGTAGACTAAATCGGTTCGCAAAAAATTTAAACTTTTAAGGAAGAAAAGTTGAAATAATTCAAGTTAAATTATAAACCGAACCAATTCGCAAAAAGCTTAGCTTTCTAAGCAAGCTATCCAAGCTATGAAACTTTGAATTTTTCCAAGTTATTTCGTAGACTGATTCAGTTCTGGACATGTTCAAAATTTTTTAAAAAAAATTTCAAACTTCAGCTAGAAATTTTAAAACAATTCAAGTGATTTCATAAACCGAATCAGTTCGCAAAAAGCTTAGTTTTTGAACAAGCTAAAAAACTTTGAATTTTTCCAAGTTATTTCGTGGACCAAATTGTTTCGCGAAAATTTTTAGTTTTTCTAGGCAAGCTTCCAAAGCTATGAAACTTTGAATTATTTCATGCTATTTCATAGACTGAATCGGTTCACAAAAAGTTTTTCTTAGCATGCATGTTGCTGTTTTTAGTTGATTCGTTTCAGACTGTATTGAATCTGTAAGATTTCGGACAAAAATTAGGCAGGTTGTGTCTAATCTTGAAGTTGGATCGAGTTCATCTTCCTCCTATGGTCGCTCTAAACGATTCTGCTCGATAGAAAAGTTAAAACGTTGCGTCCATAGCAAGCCCGAATCCAATACTCAGTCGGCGAAAAATTTGCTATTGTTCTGATAAAGCTAAGCTATGCAAGCAAGGAAGCATCGAACACTTTCAAGTTGAGCCAGATCGTGAATCAATTTGAACAATTTTGAATAGCAAAGAACAGGTTTCTAATATTTCAGTTCGAAACGGTTCGCACAAAAGTCAAAATTTTCCAAACAAGCTTTTCAATCTATGAAACAAGGAAATAATTTAAGATTTTCGTAGACCGAATCGGTTTGCGTAAAGTTGAAGTTTCTTTCATGAAGCGAATCGGATTGAAAAAATATATATTTTCTTCTTCGTAAATCAATGAAGCTATCAAAATATTAAACATTTTAACTTTTATCATGAAGAGTATTGGATGGCGATAAGTTTACGTTTTTCTTTTGGAGTCATTCAACCGAAGAATCAATGAAAAATTTAAACTATTTTCAAGACCGAATTGGTGCGCAAAAGATGAAATTTTCAATGCAAGCTATTCAAGCGAGGAAACTTCAAGTAATTATCAGGTAATTTCAAAAATAATTCAAATAATTTAAAGTGATTTCTAAGATTAAATCGATTCGCGAAAACTTCAAGTTTTTCTACGCAAGCTATTTTAGCGTTGAAATGTTTCAACTTGTTTTACAGACCGAATCAATTCTCAAGAAATTCAAACTTGTTATGCAAGCTATTTCAGCAATGAAACTTTGAATTACTTCAAAAAACTGTTCCATAGAGCGAATTAGTTCAAGAAAAGTTTGCAATAAGTTCAGGTTTTACCCAAGCAAGCTATCGAAATTATGAAAACTTGAAATATTCCAAGTTACTCCTACGACCGAAACGTTTTGAGAATAGTTACTTTACTAAGCGGGCTGATCTATCAATAAATTTCGAAATAATTAAAGCGTCTTTTTTGTTAGACCGAAATCTTTTGCAAAAAATCCAAGTCTACCTATGTAAGCGATTTAAGCAATGAAACTTCGAGGAACTTTGAGGATAGAAGTTATAACTGAATTTCATGTCAGAAGTGGAAAATTCCTACTATTGTCAGAGGCCGCAATTTCCTACAATTCGGCTCCAGTTTACCATGCATACTAAATTGACCATTCTGTGAACAAAGCTGTTAACGGGAAACGAAGTCTGGTACCCGATTGCAATACCCTTGCTTATTGCCCGGGTAATAACAGTACATTTCCGATGAACGACTGTAAAACGAAAAATTCAAACAAAACTCAAACTCCTTGTGCTGCTCACGAGGTTTCTTCGGTGCTTTGACGAGCTTCCAGAAAACTAAACATGTGTAAGAAATTGTGTAACAATTGTTTTTTTTTCGAAAAACAACTTTCGAATTGCGAAGTAATAGTAGCTTCAAATTAACATACAAGTTCGGACACCAGATGAACAGATACTGGCCTACTAATATAGCACTAGGCTTCCTTGGTGAAATCATCTAGTTTAGATAACCAGCGTCTCTTTTGATGTACATGTTCTTGACGTAACTTGCTACTTCTCAATTACAATGACAAGATATTGATATTGCGTTTCAACTTTGGATCATAGCATGAAAAAAATCAATATTGTATTTAAGCAAAAAAAATATAGAATCAATTGAACAGCATTGTGGGTTTTATTTTCTGCAAGCAAGAGGAGGTGAAGTAAAAAACTTCGAAATAGGCAGATTTGGATCGTAAACAACTGAAATCTTCTTTCTGTTCAACTTTCGTCCAAAGCGACCCGTTTTCCTCTGCCACCAACCACTCGCCGGCCTTTTGCCCATCCACCTGTACCGAGATCCACTCCCAATCACTTCTCTTTTGGGACCGGTCCTCGAAACCCGACCGATAACGGCCATGCAGTTTTTACTAACGACTATTTGGCGCCTTTCAGACAACTTTACAACAACCATATCGTTTGAAATGTGTTCTCCTACTGTTGCACATGCTCCAGCCGCCCTGCATTTAATAGCGCCTGTTCTGGGGTAGATCTCGATCTGGGATACAAGCGTTCCCGGTGCAATAGCACCCAACGGGTGTGCGTCACCATCTTTTAAACGTTCTAAACATATCTACGAGCAATTAAACAAAATGCGAGCATTTTAATTAAAGAAAATCATATCATCAATTACGTTTTTGCGACAACAGCAAATACGCAACTGCTCTGCAAAAAGAAAAATAATTCACAACAATTAATTAGCTTTTTACGCGGAATTTCACGTAAGAACGGTCGTATCAGCGCGAAAGTCGACAACTCTCCGAATGCCCTTGAGAAATATTTTAATAGGAAAACTGAAAACTTGAAAAAAATTCAAATGTGAAAAGCTTTACAAATATTAAAATCTCACTTTTATTCAAAGGGTCTGTGAAGTTGATTTAGATTTCACCAAAACATATTGCAAGACTGCATCTATTTTTGCAAAACAAAAAAAAACAAGAAGTAATTCGAAACATGAGCCCATTGAATTAAAGCCGACATTCAGTCGCCCAAAAGATACCGAAAAATTTTGGCACAAAAAATACTATTAAAGGAACTCATAACAGGCACATATGCCTAATATGCACCCATTACATTCACCTCTCCAGCAGGGGCGGATCTAGGATTTTTTGGCGGGGGGGCGGATTTTCAAAAAAATTTAGAAAATTTTGACGACCTTTTGTTTTTACGTCGACCAAATTGATTTTCCGAGCTCTCCTAAAGCACTAAAAAGTCCGTTTTGGCCAAATTTTCTGCGCCGCAGGCAAATTTTCGAAAAAAAACAGGTCAAAAAATCCGTTTTTAGGCACTTTTTGAAAAATTTTGACAAAAAAATCGCGTTTTTTCGGAGCGCGCTACCCCTCAAAGTTAGTATATATTAACGCTAAAGGCGCCTTTAGAAAAATTTTAGGGTCGGTCGGCAAAAAATGGATTTCTTAAAAAGTACCAAAGGGGGACCCTTTGGGTCGGCAGGGTGTCCAATTCCTGAGGGGGGGGGGGGGGGCGTCCGCCCCCCTTAATCCGCCCCTGCTCTCCAGTAAAACACTTATAACACTTTCACGTCAATATAACATAAACTGAAAATGAATATTTAACGAAAAACGAAAAAAATCAAATAAGACATAGTAAATTTACAAACTTAAGAGTTTCAGTTACAGTAAAAACTGTCTAAAACGGAACAAAACCTATGCTTTAAAAAGGAAACCAATAAAAACCCTACCAGCTAAAAAAAACTCGGTTAAAAAAAAACGAAAAATGAAGCGACAGAAACTAGAACGAAAAATGAAGCGACAAACTAGAACGAAAACCAGGAACACGAAAAAAAATGATTTTTTTGAAAAAATAATTACAACTTAAAACGGGTTTGAACTAACTACTAACTAAGTGATAGTACTTTTACTTAAATTTTCAAGAAATTGAGCTTGTCAGATGAAAGATCCTCTAGAAGTGATCCTGTGTACAAAGTAATTTACGGGAAAAAGTCTAGTGCCCGATTGCAATACCCTTGCTTATCGCCAGGCTAAAAATACAATTCCGTGAACGACCTACAGTGCCGGCAAAATTTATTTTCTCTCGCTTATCTGTTACTACCGGTTTTCATAAATTTGTGCAAGTTTTGGGCACGCATGTCAACCTATTGTACAGTGCTTATATAAATTATCCCGACAAAAAGCATTCAACTTGAAATTTTACATGCATTCTTCTCAAATTGGGTTGAACCCCAAAACATGCAAAAATTTTACCCCAAAAAAACGGTTCATTTTCGTTTTTTTTAGTTAATTAAAAATTACGCCAAAACTACCGCAACAATTACTAATAAAATTATGCCAAATGGCCCTTCTACGTAGCCCACTAAAATTTAAGAAGGGTACAACCTCCAAAACTATATTCATATTGATATATTATCGTTAGAAATTGACCAGGTAGTTTTGACATTATTTTTGATGCCAAAAATGATCCGTTTATGGGGTAAAATGTTCTGTTCGAATTTCGCATAACAAATTGAACTATATTAATTGGGCGGCAATTCTGATCAAGATTTTTTGTTATCATTTTCCACCTAATCTCAACCCAATTTGCAAAAAATGCGTTTTAAATTTCAAGTCTAAATAGTTTTGTCTGGATTGAATTTAAATGAGCACTGTACAAGTTCGGAGAGTTAGAACTTACTAACCGAAAATGCTCGGAATGTGACGCGTGCTTCTTATAATATCTCCCACTTTCATCCCGTCATGGGCCAGTATATATCTCTTCTGAACGCCATTGGCAACCAACGCAACAAACGGAGGTCTGTACAAATCTCTGCCGATCCACAAAACCTTCTCCTCTAAATCAGAATCCTCGGACATACCAAGTCGGTTGAAGTCTACCCAGTAGAAAAACTTTTTCTTGCCCCCTCCCCTGTGATGCACTGCGACTCTTCCCGTATTGGGGTCACGACCGCCGGTGCGACTAACCGGTATGGGGTCAATCGAATACTCTTCGGGTAGTTTGACCGAAAACGCCCTTTCGGTCAAGGTAGACATAGCAAATTTCCGCAGGTCGACTTCGCATGGTAAATGTTTCTTCATTCTGTGCACGTATGTTTTCAAGTTAGAATATCCTACAGCTGGAGGAACTTTTTTGAACTTCATCGTTTTTCCAGGGTACTCGTAGGAGATCTTCCAGCCAAAGTAGTCCACATCTCGTAAAGAGCATGTTTGAGTGAGTATACGGCTCTTCGTTTTCAGCAGCTTCGAGGATGACGAGGCTGCGCTTATTGTGCAGCTTGCTCTGAGAGTAAAAGCCAAACAGTTCATGGCAGCTACCTTTTCAAAGCACACATCTCGCAATCAGTCATACATCTCTTAAAACCAGGCATATTTCGCATATAGTTTTAACAGTCATCTCTTCTGCCGGGAGACCAGTAAAATTTCGCAATTCAGAACAATCTCATTTTCAGAAAAACATTATTAAAAAAACGTCTGTGAATGACCCATTTGAACAAATAATTTACTAAGTCAAAAATTTTATCATAAAAAAAGCATTTTAAGTTTTCAGAAACAGATTTTGAGAAGGCATTTTTTTCTGTAAGCTCCTAAAATTACTTGAAAAAATGATTTTTATGCTTTGATGCTTTGCACGCGAATTGGGAATCATGCGGACAAAACCTGCTTTGATAAAGATTACGAAAAATGTCCCCAAAACTTTCGCCACAAGTTTTTTCGCAATTTTCTGACCTAAAAGCAAGTTAGAAAACGGAATTTTGCAATATTATGAGTTTTTATTTAAAAAAACCTGAATCGGCTGAATTGAATTTATTGTATTGTAAGTAAAAATTATTCCTTGAGAAGCGACAGAGTAAGAAAATTTGCATCTGCTCAAATAGCTAGTTATTCAGCTAAAAAGGCGGATTTTCACGGTTGAATGTATTATGCATTTTATTCCGTGGATTCTCATGCAAAAAAATTTCCTGATACTGATGGCCTCTGCATAGCGGTAACTATGCAGATATATTTTGGGTAGACGCCAGTTGAGCTGAGAAAAATGTTCAAGAAAAACATTGAAGCTATCAAGAACTTTAAATTCCTGTTTTATAAAAGCAGGTAATATGAAAATATATGGGATCGATTTTTTTTTTTTCATTTTTTGTTCAGACGTTGTGGAAAATCTTTTCATTTTTTTCAAAAAGTTAGTTTTTCTCAAAGACTACTCCACCGACTTTCAAAAGATTGGTTCCAATGAGAAGTCCGCTCACTCCCCTGTGTGACTGTATAATCCCCTTACAACTTTTTACTTTATCCCTTTTTCTACAGCCTTCGAAACAGTGCGTGGGGGGAACTTTTGCCCCATATTTTTTTAAGATTTTCTCAGAAACTACCCTCCCAAATCTGAAATTTTAGTTTCCAAATAAAGGGCGGCTTGTGGAGAGCTTCCCTGCATAAGTACTTACACCCAAATTTTTTCACACAAAAATTTATTACCCTTAGAACAGTCAAATTTACGATTATTGAAACTTTTCGACTTTTCTCAAAAACTATCCTCCCAAATTTGAGGCTTTGCTTTCAATGAGTAGAACGGGTTGTGAGAAGCTCCGCTGCATAAATGATAACACCTAATTTCTTTTTTCACATAAAGTTATGACCCTCCGAAAAGTCAAACTTTCCATTTTTTGACAGTTTTTTTTTGAAATCTTTTGAGTTTTCTCGAAAACTACCCTCCCAAATCTAATGAGCAACGTTTTAGCATCTTTCAACCTATAAGGTTTTTGTTAACACTTCAATATCACTACAAAGTTATCACAACATCACAAGAAAACTGAAGTAAATGCTGAAAATAACAGACTTTGAAGTCCTGCCAAATCGAACTCAAAAAATTCACTCCCATTTATTTTATAAGAAAACCATGTAAGGAAATTACCGGTATTTCCGCTCAGCACAATAAATTCAAAAAATACCAAACAAGTATTTCTAGCTTTAGCTGGTCTCTAGTTCCTGTTTGATAAAAACAGCTACTATGAAAATGTATGTGATAGGGTTTTTTAAATTTTTTTGAGACGCTTTGGAAAAATTTTTCACTTTTTTCAAAAACTTAGTCTTTCTCAAAAAGGACTCTACCGATTTTCAAAAAAAAATAGTAGCAATGGGTAACTGCATAATTCTCTAGGCACTTTTTACTTTACCCCACTTTCTAAAGCCTTCGAAAAAGTGGTGTGTGGGGGGAATTTGACCCATATTTTTGGATGTTTTACATTTTCTCAAAAACTGCGCTCCCAAATATGAGAATATGGTTTATGGGTAGAACAGAAAGTGGGACGCTCCCTTGCCTACACAGTTACGCCCCCAAAATTTTTTACATTGAAAGTTGCGATTCTCAGAAACGTCAAATTTTCGTATTTTTGACAGTTTTTTTTGTTACTTTTTAAATTTTCTCAAAGATAGGGAAAATTTTGGGTTCAATAGGTAGACCGGGTTGTGTGAAGCTCCCCCTCATACCAATTTAGGCCTATTTTTACCTAAAAATTGTGACTTTTGGAAAAGCCGAGTTTTCGATTTGTTGACCGTTTTTTGAAACTTTCTGACTTTCTTTTCTCAAAAACTACCCTTTCAAATCTGAGATTATAAGCTCAATGAAAAAAAACGGGTTGTGGTTGGCTCCTTTGCGTAAGCGGCTGCGCTCAAAGTTTTTGACATGAAAAATTATGGCCCTCGTAAAAGTATAACTTTCGATTTTTTTCTTGTTTTTTGAGAAATTTTTGGACTTCTCTTGAAAACAATTATGTCTCAGGGAAAATTGCACAAAATCACAAAAGTTTTACGCAATAACTAGGTTTTGGGTCAATCTCAATGTTGATACTTTTGATCCCACATCAGAACAACAAAAACAAAAATTATCAAATAGGTAACTACAGCTTTAGCTGGGCGCGCAAATTCCTGTTTGATAAAAAGAGATACTATGAAAATCTATGGGATCGGGTTTTTTTATTTATTTTTTAAATTATTTAACTCAAAAAAAGTTATGACCCTCGAAGTAGCCTATGTTTATTTGTCCGTTTTTTCGCAAAAATTTGACTCCTCGAAAACAACTCAATCTGATTTCAAGGGTTTAATCGATTCAAATTGTCGGTAGCCTTCGTGCTTAAGATGCTACGCCCTAAAATCTGTTCAACAAAATTCTGGGAAACTTATCCAGGAAAATTCCAAAATCACAAAAATTTCACTCTCATTTTATTAGAGCAGTAACTAGGTTTTCGGTGAAGACCAAATTCTAAATTTTTAAAATTACTTATTTCATCATGCATCAGAACAACAAAATCAAAAATTATCAAACAGGTACCTTCAGCTTTAGCTGGACCTCTAGAAAAAGTAAATTGAAATAACCAGCCGCAACTATCCAACCAAACAAATTTTTTTTAAAGAAATTTTACACAATGGCAGTTTTCCATGTCAAAAATAGCTGAACCATCAGGAAAAGAGCCTGCAGAGGGAACTAGGCCACCAAAACAAGCAGATACATATTAGTCCGAAATTAATAACTTAAGACAGAGGCGGTAACTTCGAACTCAACGCAAACATAGCATTGCAAGCTGGTGATCAGAAAATCAACATAAGTAGTCAAACCGGACAAAACAAAAGAGTAGGAAAAAAAGTGATTTTTTCAAATATAAAAATCAATTTCAAAAAAGCAAAAAACATAACTAACAGCATTAAATAAGCTTCAAAAATTATTCGATCAAAAATTATTCGATCCAAGCCGACCATGTGTGGGTTGACGCCCATTGAGTCGAAAACAAAAAAATGTCGTAAAAATTTGTTGTCATGAAAAAAAAATTGAGCGATTAATATTTGAATTTTTACACCACAACTGACCTGAACTAATTTTCAAAATAAAAAATCATTTTGTCATCCAAACGATACAAAAACAATTTGAATCAGCCGATAAAACACGCCTTAACCATTAAGGCCCGATAGAGCTTTAAGGCGAAAAAAAGGAAAAAGAAAGTCAGGGCTAGTAAATTTTAAGTTACGTGGAAAATCAACAAATTGCAACATTAAGTGATATGGCAACTATGCCAACGAACATAAGCAGATACATATAGGGTCAACAATGCAACTTTTCCCAAAAAAATATCATTTTCATGCATGGTGAAATAAAAAATTAACATTAGCTCGCAATATGTCAGCCAAAAAATCAATGTCATTTTTTTCTTGAGTGACAGAAACAATTGTGGTTATTAAGAATGAGAAAAACAATCAGACTATTAGAAAAACAACAACTTTAAAACTATAAGTTTTCAAAATTATGAGCAAAATGTAAGAACAATTGTTTAAAAGAACAATAGCCGGTTACTGCAAGCCGGTAAACAATAGCCGGTTACTGCAAAAAAAATTTTTTTCAAATTAGAGTAGTTTTTTCTGTGTGGTGTGATAAAAAGATCTGACGGAAAACTGAAATTTAGTCTAATTCGACATTCATAGCAACTTCGACAAACAGGACCAGAAATTTTGAAGAAAATTGGCTAAATAAAGACCAAAAATTCATTTTAGAAATTTTTTGCTGAAATTTTATTGAATTTTTGATTCTCAAAATGGCATTAAAATCTCCGAAAACTAATTTACTCGATTATAATTAAAATTAGGTATAAATGAACTATTGTAAACGGCTTAAACTAAGCATAAATAAGCGTGTTTGCTCGCTTAACTAGCTCGAATTTAGACGAAAAATGAAAAAATTTCAATCGATGATTATTTGTTACCTGATTGTGCGAGGAAAACGAAAATTTAAAATAACTAAAACACAACTGAATACAACGTACCTCCCTATTTTCAATGGTCGGAACAATAAGACTGGTAATTGAAATGCTCACACGCTCAAAATGTATCTGTAGGTTGACGAAAGTACAGACTTGAAAAAATGATTGTTTACTTGAAAATTCTACATTCCAATTTGATGACGGTTGCTAATTGCAAGCATTATTTTAGCATGTGTAATAAGTGTGTGCACATTAATTGACGAAGCAAAAACTTTCAGAAAAAAAATCAGAAAAAAGAACTTTTTATTTGAAACTTTCCTAAAGCACAAAATTTTTGCAACAAACATTAAAGCTCAATTATCTCCACCACTAAAAGCTTTAGAAATGGCATTCGGAAAGTTACAAAAAGCTGAACCTTCAAAGAAGAGTCCATGCTACGGGAACTAAGCCGACAAAATTAGACCGACGGACGATAGTCCCAAAAAGCATACAAAACTCTATATTGCAAATATAACAGGTCCCTGTCAGATTCGAATTTAAAACCTTGGTCGTCTCAAGCATTTTCGTTACCTCTATGCCGGATACACTGGATAATTGATTGAATTTGATTTTTTAGGAAGCTAGTTGAAACTCGATTAACAATCTCACGTGCGCAATCTTGCAAATAAAGTTCTTTACGGGCGAAAAAAGTCGTGCCAGGTTGCAACGCCCTTTCATATCGCAAGGGAAAAAATAGCTGACAAAAACTGATTACAAAAAAAAGATCCGATCAAAACAGACTAAAACTGAACTAAACTGATCAAAAACTGATAGCAAAAAATTCAGCTGAAAACAAATTGAGCAGGAATTAATTAGATAAAACACATATACAGTAAACAAGCCACCACCTTCCGAGGCAGAATACACACATAAACCATCAAAATATCATCCACGAGCACAACTTCATAATTTCACAATTTCTAATTTTGCATATTGCAACAAAATTTAGATTACAAAAAGTCGATTTGCAATATCTTGTTTTTCGCAACGGTATTAAAATACAGAAGCTAACTAGCGTTGGAGAGCTTTCTTTTCGATATTAAGAAATAAGTTTTCCCCATTGGAGATTTTTTCGCCGAAGTAAATCATTGTATTTGCAATCACATTTCATTTCATCAGCACAAGCTTTTTCAGATAAAAACAAAATCAGTCCTAGACTTAAATCATAAAAAGATACAAGAAAGTTACAAACAAGCCCATGAAGACTTTGAAGAAGAAATTCCAGTTTAAAAAGAAAAACTAACTGAGAACAAGGATAACAAGTTATTGTACAAGTAGCGCAAACTGTTTTGACGTTCATAAAAAGCTACAGAGATTTCGGCTTTCTCTCTTGAAAATAATGTAGTTTTCAGCGCGTTGGTTGATTAGAGAACAAACGCGTTTTTAGCTAATTGAGTTTAATAAAAATTGACGATGGAATAGCAAATAAAAGTTGTCTGTAGGTCTGTTATTCCCATGCATCTATGAGGACGCAAAATTATTGACACAGCCAATCAGCCAACTCATTTCAAAGACACTTAAGACCATTTGAATCAGATATTTAAAAAAACTCAATCGATCAAAAATGTGATAAAAATTACTGAACTGGCTTGTAGAACTGCCTTCTCTGATAGTTTGGTCAAATGTATTACCATTGCTTTACCAGTTGATCGTATAGAACCATCTTTGTTTAAAGGACGAAATGGAAAAAATATAGGACAAAATATCATACTGAGCAGCCTCGAATTTTTCCTATTGGGACAACTGATCAAGAAAGTGATACCAGTGAAAACATGAACGCATAAACATACCTTTTTAAGCCTAGACCGAATCTTCCATTTCGAATTAAACGAAACAAACAAATTAAAAGACGCTTGAGATTCGAAGCTGTCCACTTAAAAAAACCATTTCGGTTTCTTTTAAGCATTTCCCAAGAAAAATTGAGATGCGAATAGAATTTGAACTTCTAGTTTTGTCTTTCCCTGGCTTTACAAGCAAACAACAATGGAAAAACCCGAGTAAAAAATGGCGATTACCAAGCCAGATAGTTTTTATACCCGTCAAATCCATAACGATAAAAACTCACAGTTGCTCGTTAAACGTGGAACAAACGCTCGTATGGAAGAGTGACAGAAAAACGCCGACCACCCATTTTTCACAAAACTGGTACATATTTTTTATTAAAAAATCACGACTGAAAGGGTTTTGCTTTGATATATCACTCAACCTATTCCGATGATTAAGTGGTAATTGATTTTGCGTGGAAAACACCAAAAATGACAAAAAACTATAACACGAATAAAAATTCCTCCCCATTTTAAATGATCGGAACAACAACACACTTTTTTGCTCCTAAACTTTCAGGCAATACGAAACCAACAAAAGTAAAAATAAGTTTTACTGTCATCAAATTATTCCGAAAACTTGATTTTTTTCTCCAGAACACACGTTCATAGCACAACCCATTGCGATAACTATATGAGCGCGGTTGGCTCCATTGTTTTACAATGCCACAACTTTTATGGGTCGCTGTATTCGACTTGGATTCCGCTAAAAAAAACATTGTAATAATCAAACTACAACTTGACTAACATCAGTATTCTTTCAATTGGCTCCTATCGAAAAGGGTCGGTAAGCCTCGGGGGGCGGATCTAGGATTTTTTAGAGATCAGGTTGAAAAAAAAATATCTGTTTTTGGTCAAAGTTTTGAGAAAATAGGCCAAAAAACGGTTTATTGGCACTTTTTTTTTGCAAATTTGGTCAATAAATCGCGTTTTTTCGGCGCGCAGTTCCTCCTCAAAATTAGTACATATTGGCACCATAGGGCCTTTAGAAAAACTTTAGGGATCGTCCGTCAAAAATCGATATCTCAAAATAGTATAAAGGGGGGACTATGTACTACTTTGAGATATCCATTTTTGGCTGAATGACCCTAAAATTTTTCTAAAGGCGCCAGAATATGCTAATTTTGAGGGGGCAGCGCGCGCCAAAATGAGCGATATTTGGTCAAAATTTTCCAAAAAGTGCCTTGAAATGCCTTTTTTGGCCTGTTTTTTTTTATTTTGCCTGCGGCGCACAAAAATTTATCAAACCAGGGTCTTTATAATGCTTTGGAAGAGCTCGGAAAATCATAGATCCGCCCCTAGTGCCGCTGTTTATTCATCGCACGACATTGGCAAGTATCGAACGCTTGCTCCACTGTGCTTAAACTCGTCACTTTCATTTCGCTTTGATTATTCTGTGCACCTAAACGTGTATTTACATTGAAGTAATCGAATGACGCAACTAATTGAGCCCAGTTTTTTGCAGCAATATTCCTTTTTATTTTCCATTTTCTTGCTTAATATCAGTATTTTTCTTTCGCCAAAAATAGCTGCCTAAGTGAATGTCAAAGGCTTCGAGAATATTAGTTTATCAAGTCCTAATTTGTTCAGCAATTCTCTGATTTTCGTTCTGCTGGCACTGCCACAAAATGAAAGTTTCGATACTAAAATAGACTAATTCAATTCGGAATCTTCATATTTGCATTGAATTCGAGATTGCTGATGATTTACTTTATTGCTATATCAACCATGTTGTCTCAAATGTCGATAAAGCTGTTCTCAGCAAACATTTCGTTCGAAATTTGATTAAAACTTCTGTGAATTAAAAGATGTCTCAAGTTTAGGCTTTGTGAGTCGAGCGAGAACAGGTTACCGAACTTCAATAATACTTTTCATTTAAGCAATTTGTTTTTGAATTTCCTTGGTCGGTATAAAAAAAATTACCAACTTTGCATCTGTGGAGATTTTTAAAAGAATCTACATAGCTCCGAACATTAATTTCACGCTAACACTGGTTTTCACAATCAAAACAAACAAAAGACTTGTTGAGCTTGGAGAGAGGATGAAAACCAATGTTCTTTTCAGCGCGTTCTTTGCTTGAGATAAAAACATCATCAAATGATTATGGTGAAAATATCAAAAGAGCACCGATTCAACAAAAAACACAATTTCTTTCAAAAAAGTTGCCTTAACTCAGTCATAGTTTATGAATACCAACTTTATCTAGAGAAAGCAGCATGTTTATTTAGTGCATTGAGATCGAAAACGACATTCGGTTACAAGAACATGTGAGAACTTAGTGACATTGAGGAGATTAGTTATTACAGATTTAAATAATACGAATTGACGAATTAAGGAAAGAACGAGTGAGGTCCAGTCATCTCTAGGGACCGGCCGACTGAATTCTTGCTTCATGTCCAGTATTAAAATTTACTTACAGGATTTCTTTTTTTGAACATTCAAAGTAGCACTGTATTGTAATGAGCGAAGTTGTAATGAAGGACAAAACGATCAGTTTCAGTTCTATAATTTTTATAACTTTTTGATTTGAGCATGGAAATATGTTCAAATTAAAAGGCACGCTTGAGTATTATTACAGTGACAGGAAATGATTTCAAAACTTTAAAGTTTTAAAAGCTACTAGTCATTTTGTTGTCAATGAACATCTTCTGAATCTTCTCATAGGGGACGATACGGCGGCATTCAATCTTGTTGGGCTCATTGGATTTTTACTTTTATTTGCATTTAAAATTGACTCCAATTTTGGAGACGCAATCGTCAATCCGTACTAGAAATGACTCTAAATTGAGGTCGCACAACACTGGACTATAACGATGAATAGCCAACGCCGTGTAGAAAGAACAGTAAGGCAATGCTGTGTAAAAAAGTAGGATCAGAAGGAAGTGTCATTGATGATTGGAGCTTTCTGGAGAAGTTGGGCCTCCGTCAGATGAAGCAGTTTCACTTTGAGGCAATTTGAACCATTCTTTGTCTGTAGTTTCACGACTGTTCCAAGCCTCCCATGCTAAAATAGCCAATGACTCTGAGTTGACTACTGCCTATAAAATTAAGTTGAATAACACTTTAATTACTTTTTTCATAAAGCGATTCAACTTATGACTACAACAACATCACCTTTCATTTCTTCTTTTTCAAAACTTAAAAATGAGAACACTTCTAAACGCAAAAAAAAAAAGATTTATTCCGAGTTAAATATTCAATTAGTATTTCAGAGATAAGAATCTTACATTTGGCAAGAAGAGCGGTTGCTTCGAAAAGATCAAAATCTCCCAGTTTCACAGCATCTACTTTTTTAATGTCCAGTTCGCCAAACTGCAACTGGGTTATCTTGCTAGCCCTCTCATTGCCACCATTTCGGCCTAAGGAGAACCCTGGTTTAGCGTTGACAGTTCCTGATGATTCAAGCAAAACACGATGACCTTTCTGCTGTGCCACTTTCTCTGCTGTAGCATTTTGGTGGATTGGGTTCAGGCTAGGCATTTTTGGAATCGTGTCAGACTGTTTGACTTCGAAATTCGCTGAGACTGCTTTGTCCTTATTTTGTTGAAGGTTTCTGGTACTTGGCTCGGCTAGAGGTTGTGATAAACGATTGCTTCTGCTGGCATTGCATGACGATTCTGGCTTGGACGAGTGTGATGGATTCTGTTGTATTTTCGACTGTGTATTAACAGAGGAAATTTTACTTGTTGAATCAAATGAATATGATTGTTTTAGTTCAACTTGTGGTTTTTCATTGCGCGACTCATTAGAAATGGCGTCAACATGATTTGCTTCGTTTGAACACGACGGTAAATAATCTGAATTTGAGACATTATTTGCTCTCAAATTGTTCGCCTCGTATTGATCAAACTTTAACGACATATCATGATTAACTTCGCTTCCATTGAGTGTTTCTTTAGATTTGCTCAAATTTGAAGAGCCAACTTTCAATTTGGAAATCTTTTCCGATTTCATGCCAGATTTAATAGGACTATCCTTGACTTTGTTTGGTGAAGTAGAGGATCTAGCAGTTACTTTTGAAGGAGCAATGGTATCACAATACTCTGCATTTCCCAAACTATTTCCATTAGTCAGACTAGTGATTTCGTTATCTGCGACACTTTTCGGTCGCTTAAGGCTATCTTTGGTTAAAGCTGCGCCAGACGCACCATTGGATTTTTTAGAATCGACGGCACTGGTTTTAGGTTTAACACAATCAGTGCTGCTGTTTATTTGAACGCTAGAGTTGGGTTTGGGAACACTGTTGGGATGTAAAGTGTTCTTTAGTCTGTTGGCGTACGAGAAGTGGTCAGGTTCGCTTGTTGATGTAGCACCATTTGAAGGTATGGCTTGCGATGAGTTCTGAACGTTACTTGATGATGTTGAACTGGCGACGGAGCTAACCGGGGATATAATTCCATTTCTCAAAGCTGAGCCTCCCTTAGCTTTAGCAGCTGCGCTCTTTCGTTGATTCGAATTATCTTTCGCAGGCTGTGTTATTCTGGATCTGTTGCGAGTTTTGACTTGTTGGAACTCCTCGGCGTTGTGGAACTGTTCAGAATCATCAAATGCAAAGGCACCTTCTTGCAGATTTTCTGGACTCGCTGAGATACCTTCTTGACTCGGCAGCACTATTTCAGGAACAACTTCATCTGAGCTAACTTTGATGTTCAAGTTATAACTTGACATTTGTTGATTGTTGGGGGAATTTAGATCGTTATGTTGGTTTGAAATGTTACTGATATTCTCAGTGGCGGCTACGATTGCTGATATGTGGATAGATGATGGAGAAACTGTATTAGTAACGGGACTCTGGACATTTTTATCATCGATCTCGCTCATGTTGCTCATAGAACTAGGCATTGATGATGAGTCATCGTTGGCGTTATTCATTGTTCCGTCAACTTCTTTCTCGCTTTGCCTGAGATCAAGGGAAGCGCCGCCCTGCTTCTTTCCTGAACAGAACTATTTTGTTACGATATGAATAAAACAGAAGCCTTATGCATACCCAGGGACGGCAGTAAAAAGAATCTGTTTTTATTCAGTGTTATTTTATACTGGTTTGACTTGCAGGAGTTTGTTGCACTTTCAATTTTTGCTATTTGCTATAATAATTTTGACAGATAGGCGTCACTTGCATTACAACACAAAACAGCATGGTTAAGGCAATGACAGTAAATGAAAGGGCCCAGCGGTGGACCCTACGACCAACTACAGTCGCCGCAAATTGCACGGTACAACCCTCCCGTTTAACCCTCCCCTGCACGGTACAACCCTCCCGCAGAAAGCATAAAAACAGAAAATTAAACAAAAGCCGCTAAAAGACGAAAATCATCAAAACACTACCAAAATTTTCATTGCTTGGCTCTAATTGTCTATAATAATAATCCATTTTGAAAACATGCCAAGTAAAACTATTGAATCTTAAATCGGCATCAAAAAAGCTTCCGAAGCACACCTTTCTGAGACATCAACAAAAAACTGAAGCATATACCAGTTAGGCCTAAAAAAATTTCAAAGATGCGACGATTAGCCTCGTGCCACTTGCGATATAAAAATAAAGCCATTAGTTGGAAAGGAGTAATGAATCTAAACTTTCGAATTTCAACGAAAAAATAGATGCCTATAGGTTCTTTGAATCTCTTTTAGACTTATGCTTTTTTGATAAAATTAACCAATTTGAGAAAAAAGGATCGATAAGTAAAACTTTTATTTCGCTGGGAAATCTGATAATTAAACTCCAGTCTCAAAATTAGAAGTCAATCACGCTTTTCGTGCACTGAATTTTTGCTGTTTGATATTGGAGTTTGCCTTACTTTTAACAAAGGAAATGACGTGAACTTCGAAAAACGAAAATTCAAACCGCGAAAAATCAAAATTGAGCGTGAACAATCTTATAGACTTTTTCCTGAAAAAACAAACGAAAAATCATCACAACATATATAAGAGTACTCACTACATTCATTATTCTCAATAAAATGCCAATAATAAAGCATGATGTCTCAAACAAAAAGCTTGAAAAAATTCTATTGAAGAAATCGTGGACGAAAAAAATCAAGAAAAACCTTATTGCAATTGTTATAGAAATCAATAACCTATGACCATCCAGCCAGAAAAAAAATCTCCTGAATCTCTTACGACACTCACCAAATTCATTCTAAGAGAAAACACTCTGTCATAATGCCTAAAAAAATCAGCTAAGTTATGATTTAAAAAAAAATTCGCATATTAAAACAATACGCAAAGCAATCAACTTAAATCAATTTCAAGTGAAATTGCTCTAAGCTATAACACGCCATATTAATTAAAACTAAACTAATTCCATGCACTTTTGGAAAAAAAATAAATCAATCAAAAAAACCATGCATCTAAAAAACTGAAAAACTAACGAAAAAAATTCTAGCTGATAATTTCAAAAACACTTTTTTTCTTAAGAAAAGTTATGGCGCGTATAAAAACCAAGAAATCATAAATTATAACACTTGATCACAACAAAACTATTAAAAATATACCAAAAAAGTTTCAAACTGAAGACCCGGAAAGTACGCTGAGAAACATTGAGACAAAATCAATGTATATCTAAAAAATAATTTCAGCTGTAGACTCAGTATCGCTTCAGTAGCTCTAGACCAGCTGTTAAACTACAACCCTTAAACGGGCGTCCTGCGAACAAAGTTGTTTACCGAAAAAAGTCTAGTACCCGATTGCAGCACTTGCTTATCGCAAGGGTGAAAAATTTTCTTACAACCTTTACAAGTCTCCCTACAAATACAAACGCATTTAAATATTTTTCCGCTGATGAAACGACGCAATATGAGGCCACGAAAACGAAATATTTCAGGCCGAAACTTTTTGAGACGAATAAATAGAAACAAATTGAAATTATAGCACATCACCCGCATTCTAAACACCCGTTCTATTCGAAATTTGTTTCTAAGGCTCAAATTTACTAACCTGATAAACTTTCAACCAAAAAAAAACAAATAGGACGGGTATTTAAAGTTCTGACAGTACTATATTTAAAGTACTATATTTCTGTTGGATGGTGTTAGTACATATTTCAGAAAATGATTCAAATCTGTTAGGCAACTTGTTTCCCTAGAAAAAAATCTAATTTCCACTTTGGTAGCGCCTGATAATCCAGAGCGTACAGATGGATCTTGATATGAATTTTGATTTTGTTTCGATTTAACTTCGATCAAAAAAATTTTTAATTGAACTTCAACCATCTTTTTTCATTTTGATGTATATTTGAGCTTTTGGTAAGCCTAAGTAACCATGTAAACTGCCTTCCCCTCCTGAATTGTTTAAAATATCATGATTCAACTGCAGTCTGATTTAATTTGATATGGGAGATAAAAACTTTCTTTCTGCCTTCTTTCTTTAGATACCTTTACTTTTCTTTTTCTTCTTTTTGGTCTTGGGTGGTTTTTGTACGTTGGCAGCAGTAGTGGAGGTATTTTCGTCACAGCTTTCATAGACACCAGATGACTGCGACTCTTTCCTCGCGTGGACATCAGCTCCTGTAGTGGGAAGGTTGCAGACTGTTTCCAATTTTGCGCATGCAAAACTCTTGTTTATTATTTCGTCTTCTTTATTCGGCAGTTTTTCAGCAGAATATTGAGTGTCAGTGTTGTTGTTCATGATGTCCGAAACTTCTTTGGCCGACGCCGATGGACTGCTCGAGCCAGGTGAGGATTCTCGGGATTCGGGGTGACTGGTGAAACGTCCGTTTCGCTCACTATCGCTCATGGCTGGGGAGATGTGAATGTCTTTGTTTTCAGGTTGGCTATTCAAACGTTGTGACAAATTGTCAAATTCATCTTCACATAATTCACTGATGATTCTAGCTTGCTCTTTTATGTCCTGGACCTAAAATTAGACTCAATGCAGGTTTCCTAATTTATTGAATGGGATCTTTCCCAATATTCCGTACCCAGCAATATCCAATAATCACAAGAGATAGTGCGTTTGACACAGGAGGCGCTTCTAACTTTGCATTTAACTACTTCTTTTTTGCAGATATGTGGGCCACAACTTAAAAATCACAAGGATGGATCCACACGTTTTTGTTCCGACGCCAGGATCTTTAATCGAAAAAGTCTAAATGAAAAAACGTGAACTCACTAATTTATCTGTGTAACTTCTCGGAAGACTGTCATATACCTCAAGAAACTTTTCATTGTTGTCATATCGCAAGGCTTTTCCCAGCAAATAAGAGAAAACTTCTGCACCTTTTTCAGAACACTCAGTTCTTTGGTGGCTCAAATCATTGTTTTGTTCCATAAAAGTGAAGTCATTTGTTCAAAATACAGTCATTTCAAACCTTAAATGAAACAAGGGTAATCGGTTACTGTGTTACTCGCTCAATCGTTATGCAAGGGCTAGCATTGCATTAAATTAAATTAAAAAACCAAAAAACAGGTTTCAATTTTTTTGTCAAAAAAGTATTTACTTCTCCAGGTGAAATGATTGACATGCAGATTACAATTGGTTCTGAAAAAAAACCAATTAACAAGTTATATCTTGTCAAAACTGGAAATACAAATAGCTCGCGTTGAAAATTGATACTTAATTTTATCCGCCATTCAATGTGAGCCAAAATAGGAAAAAAGTAAGACAAATCTTCCTCGTCGCCCAAATAATTTTCGGAATCCAAAAAGCGACTGACAAGGCTTTAATAGAAAAACTCTTTACACTTTACCCTAATGATAAATTCATACCAATTTCTGCTGTTCAATAAGTCATCTCAGATATTAATATAGTCAGTCGGTTAACCAACAGCATCTTAGTAGGATTTTAGAAAATCCGACAAACGATAACACTAACAATAAGACCACCGTCACTTGACCTGGGTGAGGGTCGAAGAATATTTTAACTTAAGACGAAGAAAACCGAAACATTCCTAAATTTAATATTCTAAGCCGGGGAAATGTACCAGAGAACTTAAAAAACATCTTTTTTAAAACGCTCAAGGGCTGAAAAAGCAACGATCAATTTGATTTTCACTTAAACGTGTCGAAATCAAAAAATAAAGGCAACCGAAACTCTGCGCAATTGAGCCGAGAGATTCAACAGCAGTCTGTACTCAGACTCAAAACATGGACAAGAAACTGACGGGTTTTACATGCGGTAAAAACAATCATGCAAGTTGCATTGGAATGAAACATCCGACCAGCGGCAGCAGGCCTGCTCCAGTAAACCCTGGGGGAAAATATCAACACACTACCGAAAAAACGACAAAAGCAGCTTTATAAAGTGCAATCAAAAAAAGTATAAATAAGCATCGAATTACTAGAAAAACCGGCTACGTCTGAGATCTGCGACCTAGAGACTAAGAGTCTCACACACTACCCACGTTAGCTTAAAAGGCACCAAACAGACGCCAAAATTAAAGCAGAGAACAGATGCTATGCAATTTCCAATGCTACAGTGAAATTTCCAAATAAGTGAACACTTTAAATTAACACTTTTATTTACGAGTAAAGTTAGAAAAAAGAAGGTTCATAACAATACACTAAGCTGATCGCTAGTGTAATGAACGCTAGTGAAGATCAAATGTATCACATTAAAAGGCTACCATTGAACTATTATTGCTGCAACAGAAAACTAAAAATAGCTTTATATTGCTTCCCTAACAGAAAACATTATAAATTGATCATATTCATTATCAACCTTTAAGAAAAAGGTTGTCCTAGACTCGAGAACAACATCAGCATAAAAAGATGAATCTGAAAACGAAACTCAACTTTATACCAAGGAATCGACCACTAATTCACATTGTTTTATGAACGCGGACAGATGAATGTACAACTATGAGTACAAAAATTGCTGTTTATCGTATAGTGCCGAACTCGTCTTTGAGAGAAGTGAGAAAGTCAGTCAGATCAACAAGACTTTTTCGGGGGTTGATAAATTAGACGATAAGCAATTTAGACGGAGGCACTTAAAAAGAAAAAAGACGATTGAGAATTATGAGAAAAAAGACGAAAATGAGAGAGATAAAAATTGTTTGCAGACAAACTGCGTGAGAAAAAATTGTTTGCAGACAACAGCTTAATTTCAGTGGCCAAATTTTTTTACATGTCAATCATGCAGAATTTATTCAATTCGAAACTCTCCTGTAATATTCGGATTTGACATTTTAGGCTCATTTAAACTAATTAATTTGATAGGTATTGACATTTTATGGTTCTTTTTGTATTTGTGAAACTTGACTCTTAAGAAAAACTTGTGTTGGCCCTATCTTTTTCATAGCAGTGTCGTCTAAAATGCAAGGTCTGAAAAAAACTATTTGTCTAATTTCGTTTTTGTAACATTCGTCTAATTTGCTTATCGTCTAATTTCCTAGGCCCCAGTTTTTCAACGGGGCCAAGGAAATTAGACAAGCAAATTAAACGACCGTAAAATAACTGAATTTAGACGATAGCTTGTCGCGAATATAAACAATCAGAACTTCGGCAATAATTTTTTTATTTAGAATGAAGTTATACTAAAACAAAAAGAGTACATTATCACAGAACTGATCAAATTCTGATTGTATACTAATTACTAAATATTAAATCGAAACAGCAAAGTAGATTTTTTAAATGCATAAACTATACAACTGTCACATTAATGACCTGATTTGTTGTTGGAGAACGAGTTTTTACCCAAACAAAAGTTACTTTTAGCCTGTAAACAAAATTCACGCAATTTGTACGTAAGTTATCGCCTAAATTCCGATTCCTTTTGACCGCCTAATTTGCTTGTGTAGTTTCTTAAATCCCGTTTTCAACAATTCTTCGAGAAAAAATCAAGCAGCGTAACTAATAGAAGGAGATTTCGGGCCTGATAACGTTATTTGTGCCGAAATATCAAAAACCGAAAAGCTAAAGACTGATTGATCAGCCTAAAAAACTTTAACCCAAAATTAATTGACAAAGCTGATCTATCTGTTCATTGTGCGTATAAAAAGGACAGATCCATGAAAGCATTAAAAGTTAATTCCATTCAGACCTTACATTATTGATGCTTCATGGCTTTCCTCAAACTACGCTGAAGTGAACGTTTTTTTGCTTCTTAACTTAATCGATTCATCATTTATTCCAGAAACTACACCTCAGGATTTTAAAAATATAAAAATAATCGTAGCTTTGAATGAAGCCTGCTACTTAAATGCTGTATGAAAAGTAACCACTGTAATTTTGAGTATATTACAGGCATTTATAATTTACTAAATAACAATTCAAGAAACTTTCCGAACAAATTTCAGCCGGCTTTATGCAATCTGATCTTAACCTGTGGCAATTCCGAAAAACTATGAATGATTAACTTTTAGACACGGGCAAAGCGGATCATCGCATCACTTGCAATACAACAAAACCGCAGCAATCACCAGTTTTAAATAAGCTTTAGTATTGAGCGAGCGGCCACTAAGCCGACAGCAAGTGAGTGGATGCCCATTGAGCCGAAAACAAAAAAGTCACAAGAAACTGTAGTGATGAAAAATTTTCGAACAGTTATATTTTCGAAACGTAGCAACACACTTCCTGAATCTTTCAAAAGAAAAATCAATATTTTTTGTTTTAAAGCGACGCAAAATAAAGTAACTAAACCCTAAGAACAAAAGCCGAAACCATTTAGACCAAATAAACCATGGCAAAAATATAAGTGAAAACAAAACCGAAAACCAAGGAAATATACAAAGTCAGGGCTATTAATTTTACGATTTGGCAACTAAGCCGACAAAAAATAAGCAGACAAACGAAAGTCAGACAATTCAATTTTTCCCGGAAATTTGTACACAAAAATTTAAGTTTCTCAAATTCAAGCATACTGAACAAAATAAGGTCTACCACATTTCTTTTAGCTTGTGTTCGAAGTCTCGAAGTTGCGAAGATTCACTAATAAAGCAATTTCACAATTTCTTGCTTACTCTCATACCGTGTGTTTCTTGTACTTCCTGTCTTACCAGTAAAAACTGTTTACGGAAAAAACCTAGTTCCCGATTACAAGTGTAAATGCACATAAATTACCAGTAGATCCCAAGTGGAAGATATTCCAAAAAATATACAAATAATTATTCGAATATGGAAAAAACATGCCTTGAAAGAGTTCAATGTTCTGCTAGACTGAATTGAATCCTAACGTCAATATGACCATCAAAAACCGTCAGATACTGGTTGGCCACTTACTCTTCCTTACGGAACTAAGAGTTTCAAAACAGTGTAAAAAAGACAATGTTTTGTATACAGATTCAAACTCAAACTAAAAAAAAAAACAATTTGTGCCTTAAATGTTCCAAGCTTCTGAAGTTACCATTAAAGTTTATTTGGACTTAATCCTGCGCGCGCTTTTGTGGCTTTTCGCTTCAATTGTTTAGCGAAGTGAAGGGACGAAGGTAACAAGTATTTGGGATGTTTATCGAGGTACTGGCTTGATTTATTCATTTCCACCTTCGGCTTAATATTTGTATCTTTTTAGGTAACCAAATAGGCCGGTCGATTATTTTGAGCAAAAAAACAAGGGACCTTGAGATAAAATTGAGGTTTCTGTAGTAATTTTGCCCGACTAAATAAAAGGGTGGAAGTCTTCTGCGTAAGATTGATTTTATACATAGGGCATTAGTAGAGTGTAAAAAATTAAAGTGATAGGATTGAGCTTGAGAGCATTATACATATAAGACCACTATATATAAAATGGCCTTCAATAACTCCAGAAGAACAAATCAGCAAAAAAATTATAGACCAATGAGCATTTTACCCAAGTTATCTCATTCTTGAGCGCATTCTTTTTAAATGTATATATTCGGAAACCCGCGACGAGTTGTGTTCTAAACAGCATGATTTTATGTCGCGACGCTCAACAGTTACGCAATTATCCTATTTTGACTTTTTTTCATTTTAATTATGAGGCAAGCATAGCTTGTTCAACTATATATTCTGATTTTCGTAAGACTTTGGACTCCTTGTCACACTATTTTACCAGGTATTTTAGGTCCTCTTTTTAATACAATTTTTATTAATCGTTTACCAAAAAATGTTACTATTTCCGATTGCTTTCTTTACGCCGAAGATTGTAATTTATCTATCACATATGAACTACAAAGGGATGTTACCTCATTTATCCTTTGTTTTTATCCTGATAAATGTTCAGTCATCCTTTTTTCAAAAACAATCTGATCACAAGGCTGTTTATGAATGAGCTTCCAAAGATCAATGTTATTAAAGATTTAGGTATTTGATATCGAGTGATCTATCTAGGAGCAACCATATCAGTGAGAGAGTATTTTCGAGCAATACACATTTTCATGATTAAATGTTATGTTATGATTTACATATCTACGA